TTATTCACGCCTGGTATATATTCAAATATGTACAATTGTACGTTATGTATATTCATTGGTTTCTCTTAAAAATAAAAAGTTTAATGATTTCTTTGCCTGCTGCGAGGATTTTTTTTTTTTTTGTATGAGAATCCACTTGCAGGCTGCTATATAAATAAAGAAAGATATTTATTGACCATATCCATGTATACAAAAATAATATGAAAAATAACAGTACATTATAAACAAAATGACGTCAACATGGACTTTATCTCAGCTATGACCCCTGCATACTATGCACTATATTTTAATCTTTTTGATATTAATGATAATAAATTGTTCTACTATTATTAACATAAGAACTTGCTGTGGATTTTTTCCTTGAAATAAATAAATAATTAAGCAGTAGGATCTTGCGTTGTGATATTATTGGAATTTAAAAATATATAATCTATTTAAATAAAGTCAAACCCATAACAAAATGGCCCAGTGCGATTCGAATAACGCACAAAAGGTTCCGTACCATTATCTAAATAAAATCACGTGTGTCGAATGACAGCCCCTTAAATATTTATTTTATTCTGATTTTTAGTATTTCTTGTTATAGCGGCAACAAAAATACATAATTTGTGAAAAGACAAATGGGCAATTTAGTATGGAGGTTGGCGCGTTTGTCAAAATCATTGCGCACGAATGAAGCTTACTTATAATAATAGATAATGATCATGCTAACAACGGTTGTTAAGGCAACGTAATTATTTCAAGATATGAGCGAAGTCATATGGTCATACTTTTAATGGATTTTCATGTGCTTCACTGTTTGATATTATTGTAATTACATAGTATTTTTGTAAAAAAAGAGACACAAACCGAATATCACACAACATAAACAATGAAAAGGAAAAATACGCATCATATTTTTCAATCGTTGTACTTTTATGAAAATAGCGGCACACGATTGAGACATATTTTATAAGCAGGTCTTGCACATGAATAACATTTGAGATGATAACTTATCATGGAACTGTATTCATCATCACGTCAACAGTACGACGCCTACCACTGGGCAAAGACCACCGCCTTGGGTTTCCACCGACGGTTGTTCCTGCGCTAACCCGCATCTAGTGGCTTCCTGACCTTTATCAAACCGTTGGTCCAATCCTTCGAGCAATGTCAGTTTCGTTAGTTCTTCTAGTAATATTTCTGGCTATACCGTTTGTATCTGACTGATTAAGGTAGGTATCATTAAAAAGTTTATATTTTAAAGAAAATAACTCCGAATTCAAATTAGTAAAATGGGTGATTTTCATTTGCTTTCCTTAACTGTCGAAACGACCAAGTGGATTTTTTAAGCATTTTGTATTAAGAATAATTTTCAATAGAGCATTGTGAATGCGAAATTATTCAAATAAAATAAATTCGATACACTTTAAAATTTTATTACAAAATAGTTAAAAATGCAACGCAAAAATTTGTGACGTTTATGGACAGGTCAGTGCAGTTTCTGTAAGAGTAGCACAAATTTAAGCGTTTTCTGTCCGGAATTTTTTTATGTCAAAGATGTACGTTTACGTCGTTCCAGTCGCACTGTTACGAATAAATCGAATGCCATTTTTGAAAAAGTAGAGCAAGGTCGGCATATCAGTAGTTACGACTTCGCTGAAGGGGATTGACCACAAAACAGTAGTGGCGCATTTGAAAAAAGCTGGGTACACAAAAAGTTGGATATTTAGGTACCTCATGAGGTCACTGAAAGAAACCTAATGAACCGTGTACTCGTTTGTGATTCTTTATTTCAGCGTAATAAAGCTGGACCACGTACGACAAGAACGTGGAAAAAGGTCGTGGTCAAAAGTTGGTCAGGCTTCTAGACCAGCGAAACCCGGGTTGACTTGATGCTGTGTATGTATTTATGGTGAGATTGGAAGGTCATTATTAACTATGTTACCGCCAGTCACCCGTTTCGGTTATCGGGTTACCGCCCGCTCTCAGAATTCAGGCAGGCAGTGATTCCATTATCACGCACTGCATTGTTTCAATATTGTTTCATAGTTGTTTAAGGGCCATACTAAATCATACTGGCTGATGTTTATCATACCATCAGCGGGTTTGCATGAAATATAACATTCTTAGGAAATCCCAATCTCTGAAAACTTCAGTCATTGTTGAATTGTTGCTACCATCGTCAGATTTCAACCTCATCAGTTGGCTTTGTCAGTATTAATTTAAAAGAAAATTATTTTTGTAGGAGTTGTTACGAGAAGGGCACAAAAAACACAGAACAAACAGAATTATGAATATAATGTAAATAATAGATGATAAGAGTATAAAAACACATGCGCTCTATGATAGCAAAACAATGAGTAAACAGAATGAGCAAGCCACTAAACATTTTAGTTTGTGTAGGAATGACATCAGGTTCCCATATTTGAATAATTTTACAAACAAAGCCACTCTGAATAGGGAAAGGAACACACTACCGATGTGTTCTTCTGTTGTGTGCAGGAAAAAAAAGGGCTCATTATGATTAGAGACTGTTTTTATTCATCCATAGTAAGGACAACAACTCATAGTGATAACCACAGGTGATAACAACAAAAAGCATATTTTTTTGAATACACCAGTTTTATTTAGTAAAGGTTTTAACTGGGATTAAAGAATTAGTACAAAGTAAGTGTAAATAATTTAATTTAAAACTAAAAGGTACCATCAACTGTAACATAAGGTGTATAATATTTAACTGTCCTTTTGAGTGAAATGACTTTAAACAATGCAACAAAACTGCTCATTGCCTTTTCAACTGTCCAGCTATCATGGTTTATGACAAACGGACAGAAAGACATAGTAATAGGGACCCTTTTTTACCTTTTGGGTACAGAACCTTAATGAACCCAAAAAAAAGTGAAATGGGAGCCTAGTTCAATATAATTATATATATCTTTGTTTATAACTTAGAGATTTCAATGGGTACCAAGTTCAATGATCAGTCCTAAAATTTATTAATAACAACATACAAATATTTTATAACAATTTAAAACGTACTTACTTAGGATTATATACTGAAGCTTAAGATCAGACTGGGCTAGTTCTCATAAACAAAGTATTACCTATTTACTAAACAGTGATGTAAGAACCCTATATTCAATACCTAGTTTCTACACTTCACAAACAAAAAAACTGAAATCACAACAGCGAAATAAATGACCTACTTCAAGCTACCGTGACCGCTTTGACTAATTTATTTCAAATCACACTCTCATTGTCCTATTTTATAAATTGAATACCAAATTCTGTATTATGAGATCTTTGGTACAGCTACAGCTGAATTCATTATCAAAGGTAAGCTGTTCCAACACTAGGAATAAATCTACAAAAGAACAATAAGTCATATTACAATTAATTTTTAAAATACAATACGACAAGATGCAATTATTAATTAAAAACAATCCTACGCAGTTTATTTTAAATGGATTCGAAGATCATCAAAAGCATGAAACATTGATACTAATAGGACTAGATAAATGAAACTGAACAAATGTAAAAAATATCTTTTGAAGTAAATAAATTACTTACCCATTCTCTAAAATAATAACACTTAAAAGTTGTTTCAAATTTTAATACAAATATTTAATAAACATCACAATTTCACAAACATCCCACAACTGCGGCCATGTTTTACTATTTTTTTAGTGTAACTGTCAAGCAAAGAAATCTTAGTTATACAGCGTTAAATGTAATTTCGTCTCTATCCATATTACAGTCACTAAAGTCTACAGATCACTATAAATTCGTCTTTGTCATCTAAATACATACTAATCTTCGACTACCTAATGCAAATTTTTGATGTCTATTCTAAGAATAATAACAATGAAGGACATCTTTTTTCATATGAAAGAATATATTTGTTGAGGACAGCAAAGGAAACGGCGGGTTGGGGAAGAAATAGGAAATATATTTATAAATTTTACAATATAAAACGACAGAAAATTATAGCAGAAGAAAAAAAATGCAAGTGACAAGAATAGAGTTAAGAGCGAAGCATAGATAATTTAACGCACAATATTCATTGTAAGATGGTAATGAAACCTTATAATTGATCATTTTATTTTATTTTTAGAAGCCGCAAACATTTTTTTTTTTTTTATTTAAAAATCATTTAGTGAACATTTTATCATTTATGTAGCATTTATGGGGTTGCTGTAGATTTTCGTAATGCAATTATGTGCATGTGCATTACGAAAACTGCAGCAACCCCATCCCTAAGTTACGTTCCGATTCATGCAATGAAATAATCTATTTGGAATAATGAGGAAGTATTTAAAAAAAATAGTTCTCTAAATCAAAGTAGATGTCGCTACGTACTTTGTTGTTTAGCGACAATCAGAAACCATTCTTTAATGTATTTGCGGCATCTAGTTTGATTTCGGGAACTAAAGTTTTTTTCAAATACTTCCTCATTATTCCAAATAGATTATTTCATTGCATGCTCATATTAAAATATATTAGATTTTTTTGTCATTTGAGACGTCATTTTTCAGAAACTGTTTACTCCTACGTTTGAGGAAAGGACAAGGCATCAACATTAATAGCGATTAGCAACGCAAAACATTTTATCGATATTTATATATGAAGATTTTATTTAGAATTGAAAAGTTTTTCAGTAAGATTCTCTTTTTAAATATTTTATGAGAACTCTAAAATATTAACTATTATATTATAAATATTAACACCAAGGAATAACTAATCTAAATACCTAATTATTTTCAATCGCGGGATGCCATAGTAACGAATATTGCAGTGTCCTACAGTTATTTTACTTAATAACATGTTACATAGCGTATCGTGGTCACGATTTATTGAATGTATACTAGTTTAATTTTTTTAAACAATTACATAGTTTGTGAATTCACTTAAACTTTTGACGTTTCAGTGTTTAAAAAAAAACTTAAGAATTGGCTGTATAAGCTAAATTTTGTTTACTGTTTTTAAATATTAAAAACAACAAAAAAAGAGTTTCTTTTGCTGTCAACTGCTGTCAAAGAGGTTAGGGTGTTTGGTGTTTTGAGACTATTTTTGTAAAGAAATCCTTCTTAATCTTAATATAACATATAAAAATACTCAATTATATGAGTGAATCATAGTGTGACATCATTTTTATCTTCAATATTTTCTATATTTCAGCTCCATAATGGTGCAACGGCTAACTTTCAGACGACGATTGTCGTACAATACCAAGTCAAATCAAAGGAGAATGTGAGTAAAATAGCAATTTTCTCTTATAAAGAAATTGTCGCTGTGCCTACGTACATTATTTTAGACATAAGTATTCTCGAATTATTTTGTCTTTGTAAATAATGATATTACCAAATAACCTTATATTTTTTAAGTAACTCCGAACCATTTACTTTTGCTTTTTAATTCTATAGAAACTTGGGCTTTCTTCTAAACAATATATAAAAACTATTTTATTAATGAAACATGCAATACCTTAATGATTAGACAATAATAGTGTGATGCTATATTTATTGTACATCTGAGACTTGTTCTTTCTCAGTGATCTTATAAATAACTACTTAAGACAACAGTAGTATTAGTGATGTGAAAATTATTTTTTTAATTCCTCCACATCATCAGCTTGTTGATATCTTCACTGAGGGCACTAATACCTTCCCTATGTGCCATGTCCCCATATGCATGGACATGGCACATAGGGAAGGTATAAGAAGGCACATCGCTAATTGGTGGGTGTTAATTGCTGCTGATGTAGCCACGACCAAGGGCACAATGTTTCTTAATTCTATTTATAGTCTCTACACATAGAAAAAAAAGTGTTTACCTGTTAATATGACCATTTTTGTTTTTATCATTTGTAACATTCAAATCTATATTTTACAATTTGATTCATGTAATTAATATGGAACTAGCCATATGAAAGAATAGCTGATAAAGTTTGGTTTACAAATATATTTATGACTGAAGTAGGTTATTATTGCTAACTTGTGTTTGATGAAAACAACTAAAATAAAACAACTGAATATAAATTAATATTTTGTTGGAAAAACTTACTTAAATTATATTTTTGGCAAGTTTTTGCATTCAATAAAATCACTAATGGTCCTTTCAGGGATGTTATTCAATATAAATTTTGTCATTTTTTTTTCAGAGTAAGAACACCTGGTGGCAGATTGGTTTACCAATATGTTAAAAAGCCCAAGAAGATCCCAAGATGTGGACAATGTAAAAGCAAACTACGTGGTATTCAACCTGCAAGGCCCGCTGAACGATCACGACTTTGTTATCGCAAGAAAACAGTAAAGCGAGTGTATGGAGGGGTGCTCTGCCATAAATGTGTTAAGCAACGTATTGTCAGAGCTTTCCTTATTGAAGAACAGAAGACTGTGAAAGAACTTAAAGCACAGCAAGCAAGTGCAAAGGGAGGCAAAAGGTCTGCCAAGTAAATGCTAGGTTAATAAATAACTGAAACACACATTTTTGTTTTCATTCTTACAAACTAATTATTTTGTAAAAGATTATTGTGCCATTGTCCATATAAACTACTACTAAAAAGAGGAAAGGTTCATCTCAGAAACTTCTGGATAGACCAATAATTCCTCAACCTACCAGAAGCTACATCTCATGCGGTGGACATAGGCTATCTTTTATCCTGAAAAACAGCAAATATAAGGATGAAAATGGAAGTGGACTTAGTAGAAGATCCGAACCTAAATCGACCTTCACCAGGTTGATAATGGAATAAAACTTATTGTATAATTAATTTAGTATATTAGAAAATATATTAAAAAGGGGTTCGCTAAAAAAATCTTGGACAGAATACTTTTATTTTTTTATTAAATGTTGCAACATCAACATAATAAGAAAAATTTAATTCTGACTTAAAGTATAAAACATATAGAATGTGCAGATGTTGGGTTGTCAGGTATAAACAGGTATATCGATGCCAGTTAATTTCACTTGATTTGATAATAAAAAAAAATTTATATCAACATGAGCGCTGTTTCATTACGAACACATTGATATAGGGTTGTCTGCAAAAAATTCGGTCCTAATACGGGTTTGCGAATTTTAAAAATTAAAATTTTAATGCGTGGGAAAGTGAGTGACAGAGAGATCCGAGGAAAGTATACCGTGTAATAGTAAAGGACCCAACTTGCAGTCGCATCTGATCGGACCCTGAATATATGAAAGTGCGCATGCTCGGAATGTAAAATATGGAGGGTGGAGGTACTACTACCCGTCCGTATAGTAAACAGTGCACGTTATTTTGGAGCAACTGACATTTGATTTGCAAAAAAAAATTAATTAAATTCATAACAATCTAATATATTCAATATAGTGCAAATACAATATTAAGCAATATAACATTAGCTAAATAAATATATATTCATATATATTGACTTATGAGTATAATAACAATTTATCTATAAAATAATAGTTTTGTAATTTAAAATATGATGACGTAAATAGTAAAAATATCAATAACTTGCTTTGAAATTTTTTTTTTGTTCTTTCTGGAAACAAATTAAAGAGAAATAAAGTGGACAGCCGAAAATTCAAATTAAAAAATAACAAAAAAAAAATTGATTTAAGATTTTGTATTATATTTAAAAATGATATTACAGAACAGCATAAGTAATAAAATAATATTAATGGAAAATAAATTGTAATAAATATTTTCTATTCAATATCTGATTCATCAAAAGTAAAATTCTGACTCTCAAACTCATCAAATTCATTAGATTCTCCCTCATTTACTTCCATTTCAATAATGTCCTGGATTTTCAAAGGAGTTTGATCTCCGATAAAACCTGTTTGTTTTAAAAAACCATCTAAATGCCAACCGAAGCTTTCAGGGTTTAATTTTAATTTTTAAAATTCGCAAACCCGTATTAGGACCGAATTTTTTGCAGACAACCCTATATCAATGTGTTCGTAATGAAACAGCGCTTATGTTGATATAATTTTTTTTTTATTATCAAATCAAGTGAAATTAACTGGCATCGATATACCTGTTTATACCTGACAACCCAGTAGTTCGTCCAGGTAAATAATAGACAACCCAACGTCTGCACATTCTATATGTTTTATACTTTAAGTCAGAATTAAATTTTTCTTATTATCTTGATGTTGCAACATTTAATAAAAAAATATTTTTTTTAAAATAATTAAAAATATTCTGTCCAGGATTTTTTTAGAGAACCCATTTTTAATATATTTTCTAATATACTAAATTAATTATATAATAAGTTTTATTCCATTATCAACCCGGTGAAGGTCGATTTAGGTTCGGATCTTAGACTATATATGGAGTTTAAACGTAACCATAGTAACCACTTCAATTTGTCAATTTGTAAATGTAATTATATCCCTATAAATTATAGAGCATAAGTTAAGATGTTTGTTACTTCTAGATGCCAAAACTACTGAATAGAATTTGGTATGTTGGTATTCTTGTAAGGGGCTATGCAGTTCCCTGAGGAACTGTAGTCACTGCGACCTTGAAGATCTATAGTGACTCCCCGCCAGAGCTATAGTAACTCCTTTAGCCCGGTAGACTTCTAAAAGTCTATAATATTCCTGGCTTTAAGAGATTTTATATCTTCTGGGCTGATTATATGTCGTCCCAGATGTACCTATGCTTCGTTTGTGGATCAGTGGTCCACGTTCCAACAAATGTTTTGGTGTTTCACGTTCCTGTTTGCAACATCTGCAAATGTCAGTGTCACTTAGTTTCATATTAACCTACTGACTATTTGAGGTACTTTTTTTCAATTTCACCATGAAACTTAGATATATTATAGATTCTAAGTGGCAAAAATATTTAAAAAACCTTAAGTCGGAAAATGTAGTTTTCCACTATGTCACTTATAGGACAAATGAAGAGTATGAAGATATACTATGCATAGGAGATTGCCTTTTAGATGTTAATAAACCTTATATTCATAGGTATCAAAATACTGAAACAATGTCGAATTTATGATAAATAACATATTTATTATTTTATATAAGTACGTATTTAAAAATTAGTCTCATGGACGGTATCAAAAATATTTTGGCCTAATTCTTGGCAACAACTTTCTTTGGTACAAAATGAACTAATTATTATGTTAATATAATTTAACGTTATAGGTATATCTCCATTCTTATTTTGAACTTATAATTAAAATAAACTTGTATAAAAAAAACTAAATAATTTTACCATTTTTTTCATTTAAAAACACTACAGTCGAAAAAAACACCAAAAAAAATTATATGTTCTAAGGCGAAAAACTTAAAATCTGAGTCTTTTAATTTGCGTTACGCTCATAAAAATCCACGAAACACTTCTTTTCTAACAAAACAAAGAAAAATATTCCAGTAAAAACGGTAGTTTTTCTTCACAACTTTAATTGCGGCAAACAAGTTTAGATCCACAATCGGACTGGTGGGATGCTTTTTGCTATCTTTTTCTTTGCTGTTGTTGAAGGTGACCTACTACACTATAGTGACCTTTCATTTTTTATGCTGTGGCAGTAGTTTGTCAACCTCATTTAGGTCACTCTATCCCTCACTGCTTTCATCATTATTCTCTCTCTATCCACTTGCATCCTAAATTTGGCTTACATTCACTCAATTGTAAATTTTCCGACAGTTTTCTCCTACTAGATAACTTTTCTTTCCAGAACTGTTACCAAGAATTACCGATAGCCAAATTAATAAATGAAACATGACTGTAATCACATATTATTAGATTACAGAAGGTAACCAAATGTATGTTCTTCATTTTTCATAGTTACGCTCGGCGGGATTTCTTTAGCTTGGCACAAAGTTTTCTGCAATCCAACTGTTATGTCTATCGGCATTGCGAAGTGTTGTTCCACGCCTACCACCTCGTCTTCCACTTGTACGAATTTAACCTGGCTTTCCTAACCCTACTGACAATATTTATGTAGAAATACAGGTGTAGAATTAAATTATTGGTCTTCAACGGACGAACTCTGTGAACATCTTTCTAAATAATTTTCGCGATAATCCCCTTGTGGAATAAAAGAAGAATCATCATCGGATACTTCAGAACCACTCTCATAATCAAAATGATTCAAGACTTCAGTAATATTTTCTTCTGTTAATCCTGGAAAAAAATAGTTTATCCCAAAAAAAGTCAGAAAAAATTAAATTCAATTCTATGTACTTCACCTAGAACATTGGCAGTACATTCAAACAAAACTTAGTAGACTGACATCGTACTATGCAAAGGACATCCAAAAACCACATATTGTAAGATGACGAATAAACATCTATTTCGAAAAATATATCAAAATATATTTATTTCATCAGTCAGCCTAGTCATTAGCATCTACTTTATACAGAGATAAGCGATAATTTTAATTATTAAACTAATTTACTTACCAGCCTTTTGGCGTGAGCACATATCTCCACTCGTCGACACCATTTTACTAAAAATCACGATTTTTTTTACGGGAAACAATAATATATATCACTACGTGCTATTTTCGCGTTAAAGAAAATAAAAGTCGCTAATTATTTTTTTTCAAATTAACGTTCTATGAGTAGTACGAGAGCGGTCAGGAGGTTAAATAGGTGTCTATTTAATTTGCAGTGTCCAGATAAGCTTCGTACAATTGTACTTATATTTGCTCTGTTTAGCTTCAAGAGCTCTTCAGCTAGTTTTTGTGAATGACCTTAAATTAGGGATTTAGCGTGATTTAATTCCGGCTGTTTTTGCCAGTATTTTTTTAATCCCTTTGCAGGACACTTTTTGGAATTTGCTTTTTCATTGCCGATGATGCCCGAGTGTCCTGGTACCCATTTGAGAGTAATTTTATTCGTTTGCCCCAGTTCATTCAATCTGTCAATACCCTTCTTCTTCTTCTTCTTCCTTTTTAATTAATGGCTTATATACCCAGATAGCTATTTAAACTTGTTTCTGACTTGCAACAAGTTTGATACGTCAAAAAAGAAGACTTTTTTCAAGTTTGCCATGACAACATGAATTGCTGCCATAACAACTGTATTAAAAGTTAGTCATTTTCGCCCCATACGCTTTCCAATTTATTCAGTATTTAGCTTGCAAAATGTTAACCGTAAGACAATTATTCATAATGAACACTATTCTATACGTACACGCTAGAACACCTTTTACATATTCTAATAAGAGAAGGAATTTTCATGTTTGTCAAACACCTAAGATAAATTTTACATTTACCAAAAAATTTATTATATTTCTCGGTCCATACTTATATAATAAAATCAATAAAATTATACAACATTACAATCTATCATATTCATGCTGTAAGAAATTAATCCATGGCTGGTTACCGGAAGGACATATGAGGAAAAGGAAAACTTATATCAGTTATATCCTGACATAATATTACATATACATACACAACAATTGCACTCATTCACTCACACACACACCCACGCACACATACACTTAAGTGAATAGGGAAAGGAACTGAATCCCTAAATTCAGATTATTTATATAATCTATTAGGGTCAGTAGTGACTTATACCTTCTATAATAATTGCCTTATATAACTAATTACATTAACACCTATTACTGCATACCAACTGTTCAATTGTATGTTTTATTTTATATTATTTTTGGCATGAATAAAGAATTATTATTATATATTTTTATATATGAATTAAAGTGAAGTGTTACGTTCCCGAGGACTAGTTAATAATGGGGGTGATAATTTATTTTAATTGGCTTAGCAGAAAGTGGTGGGTTTTTGCTCTCTTCCCTTCTCCTATGTGTACCAGTTTGTTTCCATATTGTACCAGTTAGAGCATTTGATGTGCGAATGCCAAGATTAAACGATGTTCGCAAAGGCCAGTAATGGGATTGGTGTTCAAGTTTTTTCTAATTGGTTGAGTGTGATGGAATAGGAAAGGCGATTCGAGATAAGGCGGGTTGGTGCGGGGTGGAGAGGGTGAGCACAAGAGAAGAAAAGAGCCAACTATTTTCTTCTCTTTTGCTTAGTAACATGCAAAAAAATTTAGTCGCCCATCCAACTTGCAGATCAAATACGCTAACCACCCGGCATTCCTCGTTAGGCATCATCACTTAACCTTCGCAATCGCTGATGAAACATGCTTACTTCTACATGCTATATAAACTTTAGAAAATACTTACATTAAACCTAAAACCGAAATACTTACCCGTCATCATCATCATCAGCCTTTTTACGTCCCCACTGCAGGGGCTCAGGCCTTCCTTATGGATGGTTAAGGAGGATAGGCCATGAACTAGATAGCACCAATCCCAATTTTGTTTATGCTCCGCTATTGACAAAAGATCACCTAGCTAGACCCTAATACAAAACAAAAAATGAAAGTAAAACTAGCTTACTTTCATTTTTTGTTTTGTATTAGGGTAGGGTATTAAGTAGGGTAGGGCACAAGTATTAAGCCTTTCAGTAGCAGGAGGAATATATAAAAAAATTTCAACAGGTAAGTAAATGTGTTTATTGTTACAAATTCGTAAATAGAGTTGTTGCAAGTTAAAGACAATAGAAACAAAGAAAATACGTGCAATTCCTTTTCTTTAAATAATACTTATTAAGATATGTAATTATCAAGATTAGTAATAATTTTATAATAAAAAAATCCTAATTTTATAATCATAAGCATATTAATGCTTACGGATGGGGCGCCTGCCTACTCTATGAATGTGTTAATTCAATCACAAATTATGACCAAAGGTAACTCATCCATATTGGTCACTCCAAAAATTTTCTTTACAAACTGTCAGCCCTTTTACGTCGCCACTGTATGGGCTTTGACCTTCCTTGTGGATGGTTAAGGAGGACAGGGCGAAACCCTCCAAAGTGGCCAAATGCGGATATGAGGGTATTGATGGCTGCAAATGCAGCTAAGGCCAGCTGCTTAACGTGCCTTCCGAAGCATGGACTAGCTAGAGATAATAATGTTTGGTCACTCACCCTGACTGACCTTAACGAAAGTTGCTTAGCAACAATGATATCGAACTGCAGCACTTTTCCACTAAATTAAATTAGGTACCTTATCTAGATTATATATTTTTTGTCATAGTCAATTTTTTTTTATGTACCTACTTTATAGGTTACGCTTGACTAGATCCCACCTGATGGTAAGTGGTACTGGTAAGTGGTGATGAAGCCTTGGGCTGTATAGCGCATTAACCTAATAACTGCCTATTCACTCTTGATTTGAATTTTCAGGGCAAATGCCTGCGTAAGCTATTGTAACGGCTAATGTTATCAATAAACTTGATCAACTCTTTGATGCACTCAATAGTGATAACGCTGATTTAAGAAGAGGAAAGGCGTGTGCCACCAACATGACCGACACAAGCCCTCATAAAAAAATTATAATAGAAATGAAACAATTTTTTGAGACATTAATTTATAAAGGATGCTCTCGTTTACCGCCATTGAAAGAAGGCTGGATTTGGACTCTAAACGGTGTGCAACATCTGTTTGAAATGATGAAAAGTAACACAATTTTAAAAAGCCTTGCAACTAGAAGATTGCAGCAGGATCCCCTAGAAAATCTTTTTGGCTGCATTCGTGGGAACTGCGGTTCAAACATCAACCCCACAATAGGACAATTTGTGACTGGCTGGAAAACTGCCGTCTATAGTATTATTAATTTTGAGACACTGTTATCTGTCTCGCAACAACCTACAGTTTCAAGTAGTGGGGAAAACAATGTTATTGATTAGCTGGTATTACAAAATGTTGAACAAATTGAAAATGAAGAAATACAAGCTAGTGCTTATGTTTGTGGATCTATGCTAAAATATATCGATCTTTCCTGTACTTTGTGTAAAGATAAATTTTTAGCAAAACATGTAGTCAAAAAGTTTAAATTATGTAAGTATGAAAATGGTGACATGTGTGGAGTGTTGTGCAACATTAATAAACAAATAATTAACAGAAAATGCACATATTTATGGTTTGAAGAAAAATATAACAAAAAAGCTTCAAGAATCTGTAAATTTTGATTTTCTTGCACAATGTTCTTCACACAAATGGCAATGTAAGTTCGATCATAAAAAGTGTATTTATTATATGCGTTAAAAGATTTTGTATACTGAAAAATAGACTTTTCTGAGAAGACCCTTCCAAAATCTTTAAAAAAAAATTTATAAATAGACTGATTAGATTTATTTTTGAATAGATGTAATTTTTTTTCTATTACAGAATTATAATTTGTTGAATTTATAGATGATTTATATATTCCTTGCATAAAACTTCTAAGAAGAACTGTATAAATTTTTTGCAAAAAAATATTCAAGTTCTGGAAGGAATAAACAATTCTTTTAACATATGTGAGTGAACTTAAACCAAGCTAATGGCTAATTATTAAATAAGTGATGAATTTTGATTATTTATAAAAAATCATCAGTAATTTATCCATTCTCTTGTGTAATTTAATGTAGAGATAATAAAATAATTTGGTGTACACCTTAAAATAATGCTAAAAAGTTTAAAACCACACAGTATGTTGAAAATTCACTTAATTTGTGTAATAAAGCGGTATGTTAAAATAATATTAAAGTGCGTTATTATAATATGCTTTTATTATATTCCCTTCTTGAAGTAGTCCCTATATTTCACCTGGATTAACTACCAAATTACTAAAGACTGTGTTTCCTGAGGATGTTTTTCGTTTGCGGAATTTGTTTATGTTATGGATTTCATATATGCAAAATATTCACAAAAAACACTGGTTTAAGTAATTTGGTAGTTTAATATGGAACCTAAGTACAAAGTTAGTATTTAAACTTCCCGCTATACTACTTGTTTCGGAGGGCTAACTATAGGTGGAGCCACTTTCTATGGATAATATTTTTCTATGAACTCGGTCTTCTTCTCGTCGAGTATTATTGTTCTGTGATATCCACAAGTTCGATTGTGAAATAATTTACATTATATTACGTAATTTTAAGTTGAAAATTTCTGTGATATTAATATAAAATCTCATAAAATGTCCAATCCTTGGAAAAAAGTTTCAATGCCCACGAACGTGCAAAACCTTACAGATATAATGTCAGAAGAGTATGCAAGAGACCTTCAAAATAAAGAGGAAATAAAATTCGCTGAACAAATAGGCAGTGCTTTTCAACCTGAACCGTCAAGTGCTATGCAACCACCAAATGATATAACCCCAGAAATAATAAAACAAATTCAGGAATCCAATGTGAAAGAATATTGTGACTCAGATGCGATTATTGCGAAAGTTTTACAATGTCAATTTGACAAAGAATATGATGACGAAATAAAGTTGGTAGAAAAGAAGCGCAATGGTACTGCAAAAGTATCGGTATCTCTAGATAATTATCGTAATATACCTGAACATTTGGTATATGAAACTGATTCAGAAGAAGACATAGAAAATAATGATAAAAAAGATTGGGATCAGTTTGAAACTAATGAAAAGGAATTTGCCAGTATACCTAAACGTGGGTTTATTATCAAAGATGGTGAAATGATTACTAAACATGATAGTGTTATTAATGGCAGAAGAAATGCTTGTAGAGTGATGGCTTTTCCTCCAGAAGTTTGCACTGGAGATGGTGCAGGATTCGATATGAAACTTCCAAATCATGTATTCAATCACCTAAAAGAACAAACTAGACATCACCAGGCTCGTAAAAATAAAATGTTGGATAGAAAGGAGAGCCAGGCAACAGCTGAAATGGGTCTCGATGAACCCACCAGGCTTATTTTGTTTAAATTAATCAACAATGGATTGCTAGAAGATATTAATGGTGTTATCTCGACAGGCAAGGAGTCTGTAGTGTTGCATGCAAATGGTGACATAACTTATCCAGATTTATCTATCCCCAAGGAATGTGCAATTAAGGTTTTTAAGACCACTCTGAATGAGTTCAAAACTCGTGATAAATATATTGAAGCTGATTATAGGTTCAAGGACAGGTTTTCTAAACAGAATCCCAGGAAAATAGTGCACATGTGGGCTGAGAAGGAGATGCATAATATGATGCGTTTACAAAAGATTGGATTGAATTGTCCTTCTGTGGTGATTTTAAAGAAACATATACTTGTCATGTCCTTCATTGGAAAAGATAATAAACCAGCTCCAAAGTTGAGAGATGTAATATTAAAGCCAGAGAAATGGGAGAGTGTTTACCACGAGGTTGTTGAAGCCATGCACAAAATGTATAATGTGGGAAAACTGATACACGCCGATTTATCTGAATATAATATCCTCTGGTGGGATAACAAGTGTTGGTTCATTGATGTATCACAGTCTGTCCAGCCAGACCATCCAAATGGTTTAGAATTTTTATTGAGGGATTGTTGTAACATAAATAATGTAAGTATCTTTATATCCATAAAATTTCAACTTAAAAAACATTTGTTACATAGATTTATATTTGTTGTTTGTTTTTTAATATTTTATATAACAATATTTATTACAGTTCTTTGAAAAGAAAGGTGTGCCAGATGTGAAATCTGGAGAAGAACTATTCAAATCTATAACTGGCTTCGATGAAGTAGATGTCAACATGTTAGAAGGTGTGCATACAGTTTACAATTCACTTTCCACTCGTTTTGAGATAGCTCCCGATGATAATAGAAATGTGAGCTATCCATTTGAGTACTGCTGGCAAAAGGCTAATCAGTTGTCAGAAGATCAACATAAAAACAATACAGGAGAAGAGGAGTCTGAAGATGGATTTGACGAAATGTGGACACATTCCATCCAGAATAAGCTGGTGGATACGGATTCTGCTAATTTTGCTAATGAAATTAATACTCAAGGCAAAAAAGCTACAAAAGCCATTGAGGAAAAGGTTGATTTTGGAAAAGAGTTAAATTGCAACATACCCACAGATGTTGATGATAATATAAGTAGTACTGTGGTTGATAAAAAATCTTAAATGAAATAAATATGTATTTTATGTGTTAAAATTACATTGAAAAGTATTTCTAAAAAGAAAAATAAATGGCAAGTGATTTTTGTAAACCTATTTATATTAATAGGCAATGTGACCAAATACAACATTTGAATTGACACATTTTTTATTATATTTTCCAGTCTGTACACTAAATTCTGTATTTATGATAGGTATTGTATACAAATAGGATAAGTTATTAATCTTAATTACTACTTATATAATTTAATGAAATATTACATTTTAATTTTATACTATAATATTTACATAGTAATGTGGATAGTTAAATTTAGGAATTTACAAATATTAAATATGATCATAGCACATATTTTATGACATAGTCAAATGTACCTGTCTCATTTCTTTATTTAATTTGTCTAGTAAATCAATCTGTTGGTTTGTTAGAAGATGCTTGATGTCTGTTGATATCCTTAGTAGAGATGAAACATCTCCTCTAGAACTTGAAATAATTATTGACTGTAGTTTTAATTTCAGATCAGTACTGAATGGAGCGGCTGAAATAAGTTCCAAAATACATATTAAAATTATTCTGATCATGCATTTCTTGATTCAGTCATAACGAAAGTAGTTCTAAAAATTAAAGTCCAGATGACTAATCAGAATATTTTTAAGGGACTGAACAAGAAAATAATAAATACTAACATTCACAGCCATTATCACTCAATAAGTCTGCAAACAAGTGCCTCAGAGAGTCGGGTTTATTCTGTTCGAGGGGATCCACTAACAATGTCAATAATATTCTGCTCACCTGCACCCTGCAAAAACATTAACACTTAAAGAACTGTTTTTTTTTTGTTGAAAGATTTCTTTGAGTAATGAAATAATAAAAATGTCTTACTCTATTAATATGTCTTCAGGTATATTAACGTTGCTCTCACACATCAAATTAGCAGTTTCCAAAGCTACATCCATGTTATCTGTAATAAGGAAACTAGCATATTTTAAAAGGTGTCCAAATGTTTGGTGCCACTTGAAAGCTACAATACAAAAGGATTTTATATATTCTTGAAATTGAAAACACTAACCACAGTCGATTTGTAAATTGAGTAAATTCTTCAAACACATGTTTTTCACTGTCTGGTCAGTCACTGTCTCCAATGCTTGCTCATAATAAGAAGCTGCTTCTAGCTTATAATTTAAGGCTATAAGATCATTAGCTAATTCAATTAATATTGATGTTCGCAATGGTGATTTAGGGGGATACTTTCCCAGAGCTAGCATGAAGCATCCGATACCAGCCTAAAAATGAAGCAATTTTCATATGAGATTGAATATAGATTTATTTAACTGTAGCTAATTAGAGTGAATATGATGAATATTCTAACTTCCAAATTTTCTCTATCAGGGCTGTAGAACTTCAGTGATGCAAGTTTTATCTCTGCTTTCATATAGTGCCTTCCTGCCGTCACATAGTATTCTGCCTCGCCGAGGTAGTTTCCTGCAGCGGCTTCGCACTTAGCGGCGCCCACATAGGCCTGCGCAGCAAAGGCGGGCTGCTCAGAATGCTCACACTGGATAGCGAGAGCTATGAACTCATTTGTTGCCTCTGTGATATTCGGTTTACGCATAAAACGCCTGCGAAATAATGTCGAATAATCACGATTAAATAACTGTGCAGTTTATTCGACCCTGAAAGAAGAATTGTGTGATTTTCAAAACAATAATAAATAATAGAATTAAACTCACTTTTTCAATTTTGAATTTATTTGCATGTACTGCTCATTAAAATTAGCATTTAAATCGGTCGACATTCTTATTCTTATTTTACATTTAAATATCAATAATCACAAGTATACATACACTTTTAAGTTTTTAAAGAATTATGACACAGACTAGTAAGGAGATGAGCACAGATTAACAACACAGACTTAGTACTAACAATAAATTATGAGTAGTTGCAAAGAGTAGTATAAAGTAGTAGCCACTAGGATTGAGCAAAAACTATTGATATATAAAATATCACTATTTTTCACGCGATATATCTTTTTGCTTTCGATATTTATTATCAGATATCAAAATCGATATAATTTTTCAAAATTCTGCTGTCTCTTATGGGTAACATCATGTATTTCTTAAAAGAGTAGCTAGGCATTAGGCTGTATGAGTTTAGAAATTACAGTCTGACCTACTTATCTTTTTTGTTTGAATATGACAATAATAATAAAGGAAGGAATTCCTTTCCTTCCTGCCTGAACCAATATTTTCAGCTGGTGATTTTAATGCTTGTCACTTTTCAAGAATTGTTCTTCTATTGATGATAATAATGGTGAAATGACCACTGTAGGTACCAAGAGACGCAGGCAAAATGCTCTGGATCTTACGATCGTTTCACCTTTAATAGCTGTAGCATCTTCTTGGCAAGTATATGATGATTCGCTTGGCAGTTATCTCTTCACTGTAATTACACAATTTACAATACAAATACTTACTTTATGTAAAAAGAAAACCAAAGAAGATTGGAATAAGCATCGTGAAGATTATTTAGCCACGAAGAAAGACTTGTGGTTCGCTATTAACAGAGACGTTTTCAAAACTCTTTGGTTTGCAAAGTTTTCAAGAATATGTAGAGAATTTTACACCGTTAGCAACAGAATTCGAAATGGACAAGGAAGATTTAATGCATTTCTATTCAAAATGAAATCGATTCCTTCAGCAATCTGTACTTGCTTTCATCTTGAAGATCAAACCTTGGATCACTTAATATAAGGAGGCCCAAGATAATTTAGAACGAATCATATTTTTGGATAAACTTATGGAAATATACAAATCACCTGATAAAGTCCCGTGCTCCATTCAAGCAATGATGACTAACCAAGATATATACACATGTAACTCATACCTATATTAAAATACTTGAAAGCTATAAGTAGGTAATGCTCTTTATATGAAAAAAAGTAGAAGACTTTAATCCTCATTAAAGACAAGGCTGTATGGTCATCACATCTTTGCCTTAAAAGAAAAAACCATGTGTCAATCAATGGATGTGTCAAAGGGAGCTGTTACTATATTTGTGCTGTCTGATAACGTTGGCAATTTAGTTATATGTGGTTGAACTTCGCCAAAACTATGACTTTGTACTACTTTCTTTAAAAAACAAAAGCATTTCAACGGCGCTAGACAAAATGGATTTTTTTAAAAGCGGCTTAAAGACTGTCCTTGGGGCCCCAGAACCCGGACAGGCACTATCAGCTGGCGAAACGGTAAGTAGTGGATTCTTATTATAAATACTATGTAATAAAATGCCATTAACTTGTCTTCAAGTTATTTAAAGAAACCGGTATCATATTTAGATTTGACCTATTTAATGTTTTTGATTAAAAGGACAATTGTACTCGGTTATTCTTTTATTAATAATGCAAAGTTTAGTTATGTCTATTTAGTTTTTTTTTGACCATATAATTCTTATCAAACATTAATGTTGATTGGGTTCAACAGTTTTAGACAATACATTTTAACCAATGAAATCACAAAAGCATTAATTAACAAATAAAACCTATTTAGATTTTAGAACTTAGACAAATTATGCTGTGGCCAGTATTGTTTATTATAAAGTAAGTAAGTAGTTAACATTTTTCAGTAACCTTTTCCTTTATTAATTAATCAAATTATTTAAATAACAAATTGTAGGTGGAGAGACTGGTGGATAGAGTTGAACATTCCACCTTGCTTGAGGATCGCCGAGATGCATGCAGAGCTCTTAAGGCCATGTCACGGAAATATAGGGTAGAGGTTGGTGCTCAGGGTATGAACACACTCAAACAGGCAAGTCAATTTTTGTAAGAAGAGTTTGTATTGGGTTAAAACTACTCATAATATTGTAATGAATTAAACCTACTACTCCTTACTACATCTATGTATTATTAATATTACTTCTAATAGAAATATATAAATGTAAGTTAAAAAAAAATTACAAAATGTACACATATGCTTAATTGTGAGATGCTTATTTTACTGGATACCAATCAGAAATTTCCATTACACTGTTCCAATACTATCTATTAATACAACTCTTTGCCACAAATATCTAGTATGTAGCAGTAGCACAAACAGTAACCTTAACCTATAATCATGAAATGTCACTGAAAGAGTAATGAGAATTGAATTTTTATTTATTTATGGTAATAGTATATTTTGTAATGATATATCTAATATAATATTTAGAGAATTAAATAATCATTCATTTCAAAGAGATGATAAGTGTGAAAACTATAGGAGTAAGTAATGCATTGTTTTTAGATATAAAACAACACTAAAACATTTGAGTAGCTCAGTGGTGTAGTGATGGCGTAATGGAAGTGCCGCCGGCCGCGATCGTTGTTATTCGGCAACTTTAACAAATGTCGATCACAGGAAGGGTGACCATAACATTATTGTCTCAAGCAACTCTGTGCTTCAGAAGGCATGTTAAGCCACTCCATTACCGCACTGTAATTGGTCCAGTAGGAAGAGTCATAGCCCATTATCCTTAACCATAAGGAAGAACTGAGACCCCACTGTGGTGACATAAAATGATGATGATTATATTTGATCAATTTTATGCTTATTTATATTTGTCCTAAAGAAAAACATGTTCAATATAATATATTGAACATGTAAAATTTCATATAAAATTTTCAGTAACATAGTAATAATCATAATTTTTACACTTATTATGTACCTAATAGTTTACTTTGAACAAAAAATAGAATCTTACTATTCTCAGCCATAGGATACCATTCTAACTCAGCACAGGTTTTGGGTATGTAGCTAATAAGAAAAGTATTATAATGTTGATATGTTTTTACAAATTATTTATTACAATTACCTATGACATAGTGCATCTTGATAATTTTGAAACCTCCAAGAAATTATTGTTAATCAATTTTAGACCATCCTGTAAAATGTCTAAAAATGTCAAAATAATCTTAATCTTGAAAATTTATGGACCTGTTAAGTCATTTAATATTTATTAATTTAAATGTTTATTGATTTATTTGATGTTTTCTTAGGTTTTAATAATTATTGTTTACAGATACTTTATAAAATTACATACCTATGTGTACCTATCTTAGAACCAACCAAAATAATATCAACTAAAATTATTGCATTTGCAGAATAAAATTGTATCTCGAAGACATAATGTGTTAATTGTTTGAATATGCCTTTTTACCTGACTGCAAATAAAGGGTTATGATTTGCGCGCGTATCTTGTATGTATGTAATATTCTTAATTACCTCATATCTCCAAAACCACTGAACGAGTTTATCTTAGCAGGTTACAGAATTATTAAATCTATTGATTCACCATAAAAATTACAAATAAAATTAATATTAAATGTGTATTTAAGTATTATCTAATTCAAATGGATACATATCATAATGAATTCGCCAGAAGAAGATGAAAGTCCAACAATTTTTACAAACACTGCTAAAATAAACATTCTGAAACAAAGAGTTTAACATGATGGCTTTTAAAAAATTTGTAGCTCTCATTTGCTATGTTTAAGCTAAAGACTTATATGTATACTTAGAAGTCTTTGGTTCAAGTTACCATATCGTAGCTTGCATCTAAATATTTGTCGCCATTCAGACATGCCTCCTTATTCTTCCACTTTTGTTTATTGTATGTAAACAATTAATATTCTTTATTGATTCATAATATTGATAATTACTCGTAATAAATATACAACACATGGGAAGGTTTATCTGAATTAATCCAATAGTGAAATGCTGGTTGTAGAAAGCTACAGAGTTCTTGCAGTTAAAATTTGTAGGTACATTTGCCAAATTACATATAGTCTAAGAGATCATGACATAAAGTGTTTTTAATAGTTTAAAATAAGCATAAACTTATCTATACGTAGTATAAAAGACGGTTGTTGATGTTGAATATTATCTTTTAAACCACTAAACGGGTTTTAATGTGGTTTTCATTCAATATAGTATATGCAAAGGGATTTACGAAGAAGGACCACGCGGGCAAAGCTGCCGGCGTTAAGCTAGTTCCTTATCTAAAACAGTATACTGTACTGCTCAGATTGCACATTCATGAAATTCAGCGATTCAGCAAATTTCTATGATTAGGAATCGCTAGAAGTATGTTTCGCGCTGCCGTAACAAGGTGTCAGAGCGCCCGCCCTCTGCACTGGGTACTGAGTATCGTTAGTATTTCAACTTATCGACATGCATATTTCTGTCACGAGCTCTCCGTCTAATAAGGCAAAGACTTCTATGTATAACACGAGACAAGTACATGGGCGCGATACCGTCTTGCTTACTAAGAGGAAGTAAATTAGACAGCAATACAGTTGATGGAAACGATGTAGTTAGGCTTACATGACCACATAGCGAGTAATTTAGTAGTACTGGAAACCTTTTCTTGCAAGGAATTGGCGTCACTAGCTTGATCAGTCCCTGATATAATAGGGATGATGACTGGGTAAAAAAAAAATGCAAGTCTATTTAGTCCGTCAGTCATCACAGTTGAGTAGAAAACGTACTCTAACGTGACGTCATGCGAAGTTTCAACTCAATGTAACGCCGTATTTTATGATTACGAAAAATATAAAAAAATACGTGTTTAATATTTTTTAACACTATACCTGACGGACAAACAAACAAAAATTAGTCATCATCCCTAATATTTCTATCCAAATTTCTTAATTGTATTTCTTTTGTTAATAAGTAATTTAATTTTTAGGTGTTAGAACTGGATAGGGCAGACAACGAAACAATAAATTATGCGCTAGACACACTTAACAATATCATGTCCCCTTCACAATTTGAGGAAGAGGAGGACAACCCTAACATTCCAATGAATATCGGGGAACAGTTTACAGAAATGTTCATAAAAGATCACAACAATATCCAACTAGTGCTAGACTTACTGGACGAATACGATTTTAGAGTCCGACTGTCTGCCGTTCAGCTACTCACATCCCTATTGACTAATCGTCCCAAAGACATCCAGGAAATCATTTTAGTGAAGCCTATGGGGGTGTCCAAAATGATGGATCTCTTGAGTGACACCAGAGAAGTCATAAGAAACGAAACTCTTCTGCTGCTCATCAAGCTGACTAAAGGCAACGCTAACATACAGAAAATAGTAGCGTTCGAGAACGCTTTTGATAGGCTTTTTGAGATAGTTTGTTCGGAAGGTTATTCGGAAGGCGGGATAATAGTGGAAGATTGCTTGCTGCTCATGTTGAATCTGTTGAAAAATAACAGCAGCAACATACACTTTTTTAAGGAAGGCAGTTACATTCAGAAGACTCTTCCGATGTTTAATATAGCAGACGACGCAGAAGGGATCGGATGGTCGCCGCAGAAGGTGTCGAATGTGCACTGCATGCTACAGATCGTGCGGACTCTAGTGTCGCCCAGCAACTCCGCCCAGCTCATATCCAGCTGTCAGAAGATAATGAAGTATGCGGGTCTGTTAGACGCCCTGTGCAACATATTGATGGCAAGCGGAGTCCCCGCGGATATATTAACGGAGACCATCAATACTGTGGGGGAGGTGGTGCGCGGGGACGCGGTCAACCAGGAGTTCCTCGGGAATGTGATGGCGCCCTCCGACCCCCCGCGACCGGCGATAGTGGTGCTACTCATGTCGATGGTCAACGAGAAGCAACCGTTCCCTTTGAGGTAAAGAGTTGATGTATTATTATAAGATTGCCTGCAAACATCTTTTGACGGAGTGTGGGAATGTACGCGCATGTGCACTTACTTGCGAGCATAATAATGCGCACATTATTATGCCAAATAAAATTCTCCTCCTTATACTAGTTTCATAAAATACGAACATTTTTATTATACAAATTACTTTCATCAGAAGCATAGATTTAACTAGTTATAACATCTATTATGATAAGTATAAATAAAAATTTATATTTCATGAAAAATTCATGAAGACAAATTTAATATATAAACAAAAATGTAAGTTAAATTATCATTAAATAGATATTTATATTCTATCCTTTATACCCACCCATATGTAAAGAAGGAAATATGTAAAATATATATAATCTTTTTGTAAAGGTATTTATAATATTACATTACATTCAGACAGAACAAAACCACAAAAAATACAATAACTAAACTATAATTAAATATTTGCACGAACGTGTATACGTGACAGGAGTTAAAGGGACGGTGACGAAGTGAGCGGTACGCGTTCAACTGATTGACCAATAGCGCGCGCTCCTCCCTCGCCGCCCGCTTACCTCATTCCTATGCATACCTAAAGTATGCGTTGTGCGCAAGCCCCACCCGATTTCAAGATGTTTGCTGGCCACTGTGATGTATTTTATTCGAGTCTCCTTAGTCCTTAAAAAGTTAGTTTAATTTTGTAATTACATTTTTATAGAAAAACGGCGGTCGTATGTTGTTGACAGAACAACTTACGTCCGCTTAGGAGCATTTGCACACGATTTTTGCTATATAGACAATATGATAATTGTAGGTAATTATTTATTATACCCACGAAGTTCGTCGTCGATAACAGATAATGACAAATCAAATTGCTAACAATGTGGGCTATGGTAATATTTTGATTCCCCTTAAAAACTTTCACTCCAATTTTTATCCCTTTAAGTGCTAGTTTTCTGCATAAAGTATAACCTATTACTTTCATAGGGTCTTAAACTACTAATTTTTATCGATATAGGTCCAAAAACAAACATTTGTATGATGTTTTCACCCTTTTGACTCCCTGCGGAGTGGAATTTCCAAAAAATCCGTTCATAATACACACAATAAGAGAAATGTACCTTCCAAATTCAAATCTCTACGACCAGGGGTTTAGGCTGGTCGTTGGCTGTCAGACAGTACGTCCTTTTAACTATGTAAAAATTATCGAAACACATACGTGGCCTACTCGATTCTTCGACATCAGATCGCGGAGAGAACATCGGAAGCTAATCGGACCGGTGATTCGGGGCTTGCAGATGTGCGGTGCTGTACTGCTTCCAATGCTACCTGCACCGGAACGAGGAGGGGCGCGCCAAGCTGGTGGGCACGCTGCTGCCGGCGGCGGGCGGGGGCGGGGGCGCGGGCGCGGGCGGGGGCGGGGGCGTGAGCGCGGGGCAGCTGCTGTGCGGGGGGCTGTTCTCGGCGCAGGGCACGTGCTGCTGGCTGGCGGCGGCCGCGCTGCTGCACGCGCTGCCCGACGGCGCGGCGCTGAAGCAGCAGCTGCTGCGCGTGCTGCTGGCCACCAACATCGGCAGCTCGCCGCTGTCGCTGCTGCAGCTCTGCACGCAGCTGCTCAACCACTCCACCCAGCTGCAGGTCAAGGTACCGCGTCCCCGCATCCAAAATGTCGATAATAGTCGTTCGAAAGAAAGAGGGCCGTGTCCTGCGGGCCCGTCGCCCGATTGAAATAAATTTAACGTTCCATATTGTATTGAGATTTAACAACACCTGGTTACCTGGAAGTAATTACTTTTAAAAGATAAGGCCGCCGATTGTGCATTTTAATTGATTGTATCCATTTGTTTTTGTCCTGTATTAATGTACAATAAAACATTGAATGTTGAGTGAATTATGCGTCCAGATCCCTGGATCCTTCAACGACATTACAATAGTTGCATTGCGATATTATTTACCTAGTATTCCCCGCTCTATTCTATATTTATTCGAGACGTTTGTTGATCTCGATGACGTTTGCCGTATCCTAATATTTTAGTGATAACAAGGTAATGTTTCGATTTGCTCAGGTGGGTCTCCTGATGCTGTTGTCGCAATGGCTGAGTTATTGTCCGGCGGCCGTGAGCGCTTTCCTCAACATTCCCGGCGGAGTCGGCTACCTCGTCAACCAGACTTGCTCGAACGAGCACGACGAAAACGAATACCTGCTGCAAGGATTGTCGGCGTTCCTCCTCGCCATCTGCATACATTTCAACGATGATTCCGTAGAAAATTATTCCAAAGACTCTCTCAAGCAGCTGCTCGTCAAGAGGATAGGCATGGAGACTTTTATGGCTAAACTGAGCGAAGTGACGAAACACGAGTCGTACAACAGGGCCGCGAAGCACCCTCAGCTGAGAGTGAAGTCTCCCTCCGAAATGTTGATCGATTATGAATTCTGTAGGCTCTTCAAATCTTTAGAGAGTGAGTAGCGTTTAGACTTTTATTTACTTTCAGTTGAGAATGTCCAAAATGTCCAATAGCTTCAAAATTATGATGAATAAGCATGATGTAATTCAGAAGCAAAGTCCTGCTATCCAACGGGTGACCGTTATAATGCTTCGAAAGACACGTCGAGCTTTCGATCTCGGCATCTCGCGTCCACCGTCGCGGGGGGCAAAGATCTGTTCTTCCTGTGTAGAAGGAAATCAGGAGAAGAGATGACGATCGATGAAAACGACTCGATCGTCATTTTTCAGTCGACGTATATTTTTCCCAATTAGTGGTTCACGAGCTAATAACGGAGCCGAGTCGATTGTCCGTAGACGTGTTGACGGAGAGTTTGAGTGTGAAACAAGAGAACGGCGTGAGTGGGCGCGGCGACGACGCGCTGCAGCAGTACAAGAGCCTCATCCGGCAGCAGGACGCGCGCCTGCACGAGCTGGCGGCGCAGCTGGACGCGCTGCTGCAGCAGAACCAGCGCTTGCAGGTAGTCTTGTCGCTGTTGCGACAAAGCGAATTGTAGCTTCCCGTAGGTGAATGAATTCATCGGTCCGGTAGCTTTCGGAACTTATTCGATGCAAACGAACGATCGAAACATTCTTCCCCTTTACAATATTATAATGAATAAATATCTTGCACCGGTGTTTATGTCACTCGATAGCCCCGGGGACATATTTTTGATAGCTTTCAATGTATTGTGTGGTACCGAGATTATTTTTCCGGTATCTATAAAGAATACATGTCTTATTAAATTTAACAAATAGATCCTTTTATTCTATGCATGAATTCTTGAGATTATGGAAACTGAACGTCAGCTTGGAGTAGATTGATCAGTGCTTATAAGAATAAGCCACTATTCTTTTTACTACATTCGCATGCTAATTATTGTTAATGACTCAATAGGTGATAATTATATTACTTTTTCCATGTTTTTGTATACCCTTTTCAAACGCAAATAAACTATTATAATTATTGGTGCTTGAATTGGCCGCTGCATCGCATCAAACCTATCGGTGGTCGGTAACCGTGCTGCCGAATGGTTTGCTAGCTAAGCCCCGCGTTGCCTTCACGGCTATTTTAAGTTTATTTAAGTTGTTTCCTATATTGTATTGTTTATATTCTAGAGCACTCTGAACGACTCCTTAGCGTCAAACTCGCATTTGAAAGACGAGAACACGTTGCTGAAAGCGCAATTGTCCGCTGTCGACTCGCTGCCGAATCAGAGTCAAACTCCGAGAGAAGACGCCAGATTTAATGAGTACGAGGCCAAGGTGAGGGAGTACGAAGTCAGAGTAAAGGAGTCCGAACTCAGGGTAAAGGAGACTGAGGCGAAAGTGAAGGAGTCCGAGACCAGAATACAAGAACTCACCGGTCAAGTGAGCAAGTTGAGTCAGGAGCTGACCGCGTCACGGGAGGAGCACAGAATGGTTACGGAGGAATTGGACAGACTGAAGAAAGACCAGGACGATCTGTTGGAGTTGCTCGCTGATCAGGTAAAGTTATGAAGAATATATCTTTTATTTGTACGCATGTAGACTACCAGAGGAATTTTAACTTTTTGATACACATCTATGTCTCCCCTGCGGGGTAGGCAGAGAGAACCGAGTGCCATAAGAAAATATATCATTAGAATATTTGTTGTGAATAAAATAACCTATAGCAGAATAACTTCTTATAAAGGAATTATTCCTCCAGAATAATTCCTTTATAAGACGTTTAATATTTTATTGCTTTTATAAGTAGCTTAAATTTTAATAGGTTATATTTTCAAAAACTACTGTTTCATAAAACGATTTTGATAAAACTTCTAGTGTACCTTAAGTTGTAAGCTATGGACAAACATGTAGACATACATACTCGTACATCTATAAAATTTTGCATGTGTGTTAAAAAGCCTATAAAGACCAACTTATATGTATGTAGTGCCATTCCAACGAAATTACCTCCTTTTACTTTTGAAATCTGTAAAAGGGGATGAAAGTATCATCATATATCTAAGGCACTGCGTTATTATATTTCATAGTAATTTCGTACATGTTTGAGGTAGTTGTGTTATGTACGTAATATATATTTATGTGCAGGAGGTGAAACTGAATGAATACAAGATGACGTTGATGTCGCTCGGTCATACCGTGGAAGACCCCCCCTCCGACCAGAACCTGACGTAATGCAACACACTGTCGGAGGTACTGTGCCTGTTAAAACCTACTGTTTGACGGTCAGACGTCATATTTGTTGATTTATATTAGAAGGTTGTTTGTTCTCAATCAACTTGTAAAGAAAAATTTAGACCTTTTTCCAAAAAGTAACTTTTGTAATTTATTAATATTATATTAAAATTTATAAAATCTGAGCGGAAAAATGTTTTAAACTTTAAAATAATTCAAATTTGTTTAAAAAGATCACCGATTTAGAAAATCCATATAACCATTTACTATATGACAACATATTATCAATACCTCAGATGTACTGTCTATAATTCCCTAATAATATTACAAATAAATATAAATGTATTAATCAAGTATGGTTGCAATTTTTAAGACATCTGGAGTTTTTTTTTTTAAACTCATATTACTTTTAGTTAATTATGCAAAAGATTGTATTTTTTTTTGTTATATTTACAAAAAAAATAATGAAAAATATATGAGAAGTGGTTTGCCTTAACTATTAGTAGAGTACCAATCATCCAGCCTAGCATCACTAGTCGCAGGCAAAAACTGTCTAGAGCGCAGTTGCCAAACAGAATTTCTTACGTTGTGCCTACGGATAGATATCGTAAACAGTTTAAGCTAGATGCAAATGTGCGAGTGCAATAATAATATCGCCCATGAAGAGTCAATAAATAATAACTGATATTTTGTAAATTTTTGTTTTATTGAATTATTCGTTGTAAAATAGATTACTACACAATAGTGACAAAGATTTTGGGTTGTTTCTTATTTTTTTATATATTTTTTGTAAGATAAACAATAATTGCAATGTACTGAAAAAAACCAATATAATAGATTTGAAACGTTTTTTTCGTCTCTTAAAAAGTTGCATTTTTGCAGTTATTATTTATTGACTCTTCATAGACGATATGTTTGCGCACGCGTGGAAGAGATATGAAATGGCGGGTCATTGTACGAAATTCTTTCTGTTCGCCGACCGTGCTATGGAACGAAATTTTTATATATTTTCATCTCAAAACTCATGATGTGTTTGTTCGTTTTAAGTCTATGGAATTATTAGAAAATGTGGTCATTCTGAACAGCTGTTAAACATAAAAAATTTAATTGGATGTTTCATTTAAATTCAACTACACGTATGACTAGCGTTTGAATAAGTTTTGCCAATATTAAGAGGGCGCGCGCATCAACCAAAGAAATAAAAGTCCAAATCAACGTAAACTTGAATGAAGTAATGAGGTCATAGTTATGCCCCATCGCCTCTTTTCAAGAGATTTAATGTTATAAAATTTTGTATTTATTTGGCTAAAATAATTATTCACTTATATGAGTCACATATTAAAATCAAATAGTATGAAGAAAGCGATATCGAACATCTCAATTTGTTCTATATTGGAATGATAAATATATTATGTGAACCAAACCGATTCAATAGCAGATGCCTGAAATTTAGGGTATCCGATATCTCACCTCACTGCGCCCTCTTAACATTGGCATCGCCGCTGTTAACTTTTCACGCATTAGGTACCGTTTGTTTTATGCGTAATGAGGTGCTCAAATGTTGAAAGATGTAATAATGGATGTAATATAAATATAGAATACCATTTTTTTATTATTAGATCCCCTATTACATATCAAAAAGAAATTTTCGCACCTTGCAGTATAATTTTGGATATTTATTTAACATTTTAATTATAGAAATATTTCATTAATGAAACACGTTAAGCGTGATGTCGTTATAATTTTGCCAGGAGGGTTTAGCGTCTTAATTCATTTTATTAAAAAAAAAGTTTATTTTTCTTTATCTTGGTTGTACCGCGTAAATGGCTACAATTCTTAATTCAAGCAGAATCAATTCCACGCACACTAACGTGTGCGGTACATAGCTATAACTTGAATGTTAAGTGCATCAGTTTAGTTTGAACTCAATGACAGTTCACTAGTTACGCGATAGATCCGCCAAGTAATTGTTGCTTAATTTAATTATGTATGTAATTATTGTATATTAAAGAGAATAATATATTTTCTATACACCTTTTCATTTGCAACCCATTGCCCAATAATTTAAGAAAGATTCTAAGTTTTTATTGGCATATCATATATTAAAAAAGCATGAGTTCGATGGCTGATGAAGTAAAGTAACTTTTGCAAGGGTCGGTCGGGTCTGTGGGATGAGTGACCAAAAATTTATTAAGTCTATTTTCTTCGTGCTTTGAAGGTCACGTAGAGCTGTTACTCCTGGCTGATCAGCAGCTGTTAACACTCCACAAACTTCACTGTTCTCTTTACTCAATTTCATCCATGGGGAAAGCCTGTACGCCTGTAGTGAGGGCATTAACGCTAATATAAAACAAATATAACTGTTATAGTCACACTTTATTCACTCTCTTAATGAATAAATCCGGCTTAGTACCTGAGACGTTTTTTCAAGTCTTTTTAAAACGAATAAATATTATTTTAAACTACTTAAATATATTTACCTACATAACAGTCTCGTAATTATAATGTAAAAAAGCATATTTATATAATAACATTTTATTGTATGATGTGATGAGAAACATAAATAATGAGTAAATTACAAATTGTGTGCAGGATGCAGACTTTTAACATGTAATAAAAAACTATACAATATTTTTGAAAAAGCTGCTTCATTCGGCTTTGTATATATTATTTTTCAATGGCAAAATCAATTATTTTTTTACTTAATCTAGCTGTGTTGTCATTTGACGAGATTATAATGTGCTTTAGAAGTGAGGTACAGTTGAGGTAAAACAAAACATTTAGATCACAGACAATCTAGACAAATTAGTTTTCTTTTATTTTAATCCTATTAAACATAATTTCCAATATTTGGAAAACAACATGAGAATAAATACTTTTTTTGTCTTTTAGTACATATAAAAGAGAACTTATTATAATAGACATTGATTATATTACAACGTAAAGGAATGTAAAACGACAAAACCGTGTTGGCCGTCTATAAAACGGCCATAATTTCAGTGAATACACTCCGCGCATACATTTGGGTACAGCGAAAGCAATCAAATACATATTCAGCAAACGATCGAGTCAATAACAACAAAAAACATATTGCAATTTATAATTTTTAGCACTATGTTACTAAATGGACTCCACAAACGGAGATAGGCAAACAAACTAGAACAGAGTTAATTTATGTCCTCGAAACGCGTATGAGATGTATTCACCGGGGGCCAGCGCATCAGCTCACTACAAAAGGACAAATTAACACTCGGCGGCTTCAGAAATCCCCCCGCCCGCGTTTCATAAACCTTTTTGGTGACAATGATTATCGTTCAGAAGTCATATATAGCACGGAAGTCGACTTCTGTATCTGTATGAGAAAATCAACACATTTCGTGTCCGTCACGGAGCGTTCCCTTCGGTTAGAGACAATGCACTAGCTCACCGCGCGGTAGAGGCCGGCGGCGGCCAGCGCGGCCAGCAGCAGCGCCCCCAGCGCTAGCGCGGCGCGCTGCTGCAGCGCGCGCGACATCAGCCGCCCCACCACGCGCCCGGAACGGGTCAACTGCTCGTCCGTCTCCCGGATCTGTCGCGACATGAACATGCTATCGATCAGCGCAATGCGTGGTGTATGGGCAGTGATACCAACTTAGGGTAATTTACCCTAGATTTAGAGTAAAATTGATCTTACAGGGTATGAATGCTTCGAGGGTATTTTTTGGAGTAATTTATTTTCTGCGGGTATTTTTTAGGGTAATAGTAGGTAATAGCTTGAAAGCTTTAACGTTGAATAGCATATTATTTAATCAACTGTCAGACATAAAAACTTTGTTTGGTGCTTCTGAACGCAACAATAATGTAGTAATTGATGAACGCATATCAATTTGTTTACCTGTCTTTTTTTTCCATTGTGTCTGTTGTCTGTAGTCTAAATTTGGTTGGAGTTTGTTGGTGTATGTATTCTGTGGTATGTTTGTTGTACATGATTTGTTACACATGATTTGGATGGAGAGGGAGGGGGTATAGTCTTAAACCTAACGATGTATCACCAAAAAACGGGGGAGAATGGCGCCAAAGCATCTGTAGTTTTCTTTCTTTATTAAACTTAAATAAAGACTATCATTACCTATGATACAAGGTATTATGACGGTTAGATAATTTAAAACTTTTTCACAATTTTTGTGTCAACTTACTCCAACTGTCTTTTCTTTGGAATTTGCAATGCAAGAAAACAATGTTTATCGCCTATAAAAAGCGAGTTGTGAATTTGTTTAGGGTATTTTATCAAAAATATGCTTAATCTAGGGTAAACCGAGGCAAAGTCTGGGGTAACACAAAAAAATGACCTGGCAACACTGTGTATACGACGCGTCAGTTCCGGTATCGCGGTACCGATCGCACTCACCCTGCCCCTCGCCCGCTGGATGGTCTCCCGCTGCGCGCTCAGCTCGTGCAGGACGGCGGCGCCGACCTGCTCCGTCTCCACGGCCAGCCGATACCCCTCCGATATGTTCTTGCCGGTTCGCTCCAGACGTTCAGTGTTGTCCAGCAGTTTCTGTCGCTGCTCGTTCGCGCCGCCGCTCCAATCGTCGAACACTTCGTCGTTGTCTATGTTATCTGTTGTTCAAAATGATCGATGAGATGACATTTGTATCGTGAATGAGTAGTAATTGTTTGATGATATATGTGAGTAGGAGGAAAACGAGTCGAATGAACAAAAATGACGGGAAAACAAAAATGTCGAGCAATTATCCAAAAAAATAAACAATCTCACAGCTTGTGGCGTTGGCAGCGACCGCGCGGTATTCGTTGCGCACGCGCTGCAACTCGGCGCGGTACGCTGCCACCCGCGACGCGCCGCCCGCGCTGCGCGATTCTAACTCCAATTGCTCCAACTGAAGGTTATACAATGTACAATCGAACGATTGGGGCGTCTAAGTTTGGAAAATTGAAGCCCCTCTAACCTAATGCATATGTTTGGGGTCCATAAAAATACTATCATATTTCAGCAAACAATCAGAGTTAACGGTTACAAGAAATATATAAACTATTTATATTGTATCAAATATTAAATTATATTACCAAATCATTTGCTTCTTCAAAATTCGCTTGTATCTCTCTAGACAATTGCTCTCGATTTTCTGAAAAACAAATTTAAATATTATATTTAATCAGATAATACATAAAGATATACACTAATTTGACAATTCAAAAGACAAACACATCCAACAATTAAGCATCCACTACCTGTTAAAAATTGAACATGAATAATTATATTGCATTCCTTTTATGAAATCCTTAATTTACTTATTTCTTATTTTTCTATACAATCCAAATGTCTGTTGTTCTTGGTTTACAATAGAGCCATATTCTGTATTATTTTATTCATAAAGTATTTATATTTATTGGGTTCATAAAGTATATTTGATTCATTTTTTATTACTCGACTGAAACGGAGGGTTACGTTTTTCACGCCTACAGATTGAGGTAATAAAAAATATATTAATATTCAGAACGTTGGACGGATTCACATAATTAAGGTATCGTAAGACTCGTCTTGGCATCTGAAATGTTCATGGATAGGTGACTTTAAAAAAAAAACAAAAATGGCGGCTGTGCAACACCATTGTACATGGATATTATATAAAGGGTTTTATTAAAGTTAAATTAAAAATATTAAATATTAAACAATATCATATACATTGCTCAGATTCCAAGATAATTAGCTAAAGCCCCCATATTTTGGAGTATCTGAAACAACAAAGGCACCACAACACCCACACCCAAGACAATATGGAACAGTTCATTTTCTACATTGACCCAACCAGAATTGGAGCCCAAGACCTGAGATGACGACATCTTGAAACCACCATACGAACCACTCGGCATATCATGATTATACAAATCAAAATTATACAATGAGAAAGTTTAAAAATATGGACTTTGTGAGACGACCTGGTAATTTGTCTTAACTAAAAGACATAAATAATATAATAATAATAAAAAAACCCACCTGCATGAAAACTAACTTAAAAAGCTGGAATAAGATACAAATTTTATGCAACAGCGTACATTACATGCAGTCAGAGGCATGAAATTGAATAAAACATCAAATCATTATCTTTTAGTGCATGACTTTGACTGCATGTATGATGTTGTTTAAAATTTATATCATGTCCCAGCTTTTTAAGTAAGTAGTTTTTAGATAGATAATTAATTTATTTGCATCAAAAAATCAGCACACATGCGTTATAAATTATTTACAACAAAAAATTATAATAAATAAATCTGCTTTAACATGTGCACCACAGCAATGCAAAAGGGTAAAAGCTCAATCATTCATTTGCTCAGGGAGTAACATGCTGATTTTCAGCCCTTACCCAACATAGTCTCACACAATAGTATCACTAATATGATAGTCTAATTAAAATTGCATTTTATTATCAAATATCACAAGTAATATAATGGAGTATAATCTATTATTTCATTTAATTAATCAAAAATTGCAAAATTTTAATTGTGAGATTAATAAATAATATATGTTGATCATTACTTTTAGTGATATATATGTCAGAACATTAATAAAACTGTATAAAAAAATTATAAACTCATTAATGAACAGCACAATATTAAAGAATATCAGTGTTATTACAAAAGAGATGTTAGACAGGGTTTTACCATGTGTTTAAGTAAACAATGTCTAAGAATATAAACCCTGTTTAAAATGATGTTTAACTTTGTCTATTACAAATCCATTTTTAGTCGTAGTCTAACTAACGCTGATTTAAACATGCAACCCGTAAAGCATTCGTTCAGTCGGCTTTCATTCGTTCATACACGTTCCATTATATGCACATCTTAAACAGACTTATGATAAATTCTAATCGTAAAAAGATATGTTCAATAACGTATTAGCTAATAACTTTCAAAAGTAAAAAAGAAAGTACAAAATTAACGTTTTTAAACTGGCACTTCTATTCATAATTCATATTAGAGTAAGATTAAGTAAAACTATAGCGAAATAATATGAAGAAACGGAACAACGACTACCTGATGCCGAACCCAACGCCGCACATGTTCACAAGCTGTGAACAGACACAGAAGCTATGCACACATGCACATGCTACGTGTATTTATTTGCAGATCTATACTTTCATCTCGAGGATTATGTGGAATATCGTCTTAAATAATTTCATATATTTTGTCAGCAAACAATCCACTAAATATGCCCTTTTTTTATATCAAAGTTCATTGTATTGCTCAAATGGATTAATTCGCGTTCGGTTTACTTACGCGTCCTAAAAGCTTTCCATGTAATCTAAATCGACCATATCAATATAATCTTTATCTTAAGAATATGGATGAATTTTCAACAAAGCACAACCTATTTTGAGGTTAGACACGCGTTAAACAACTCTCAACGAGTGTTTATATTTTAAACAATGTTTAAGCGATGTTTAGCCTTAAACAGTGCCTAAATACGATTTTGTAATAGATTTTTTTTTAAACACGTGTTCAACGCTTGTTTATCTTTTTTGTAATAACACTCTTTATATAGAGGCAGTTAGCATCAGCAACATCATGATCAAGTCAACAGACTTGAGTTAATTTTCAAGTATCAAGTAGATTAGTTTTAATTTGTTTTTTTAATGTAAATTGATATATTAGTAGCCTTACTGGAGGATGAATATTGTTTCAGCATTTTGCCGCTTGATAACAGAAACTACTCCTTAATGCCACAGTTCTATGCCCTTGGTACATTTAAATTGTAAATACAGAATGTCAATTTATCTAGCAAATACTTCAGATTTTTTAATTTAATTATGACAAACATTAACATGGCCAGATGTAGGGAACAGTGTGACTCCATATTCAACATTGAGGTGTTATTATAAAGGGTGAAACATGGGTATGCTGTGGGATATAAAACAAAAACAGCACCACACAATCTGAATTTCATGTATTAGGCTCTGAGGAAATGAGGGCGATTAACCAAATCGACGTAATTCAACCTTGTAAAACTAAAGATTCACATAAAGCAATGCGGGCTATTTCCAACAGAAAAATCGTATCCTATGCAGTACTTACAGCCAGTAGAAACAATTCCCAATGATACCCAATACATGATTCTCGAAAGGCAATTTATTATTAAAAATCATTCTAAGATATTTTTTTTTAATTTCGTAGTTAGGCCTAGTGAGGATAACTTTTTTATCATGAATGATTAAGTATATAATTTATAGATCACTTTTTAGTACACGTTCCTTTTTTTTAAATATTTTCCATTAACTTCCATTCTCATCAAATTGTGATAAAATATCATCTAAGAATGTGACATAATTTTTTTAACACTTACCTTCATTGCTTGATTTCAGACGTCCTATTTTAGCCGTTATATCAGCAGTAAGGACTGAGTATTGTTGCTCATATGATTGAATAAGAGTCGCCATTATAATTCAGAATATTGTTTGTAGTAAAAATATTTCTCATTAAAATAAAGATGTGAAAATACTCTAAACCCAAAACATAAATAGTGCCATTTTCACAGATTTTGACAAATTCTTTGCAAAACACTGATACTGACAGTGTTTATTGTATTATAATTATGGCATGAGGAGCTTGCCTATACAGCCTAGTTCTTTTGGTGATAAAATATGTGATGACTAAATATTTATCAAAAAAATACATAAGTCTATTTATCTTACACATTATTTTATTTGGAGTTCAGAGAATACCTATTTTAAGGCATCAAGTTCCTTTTATACCAGCCCTCTTAAGCCGTGATTTTATAAATTTATAAATGCATTAAATCACGAGATATTATCGCCATCTTTCATTAATTTCGTTTAACATGTAGAAATTAATTTATTCATTTGACATTGCCAGAATTGTGCAAAATGCGCAGATAGGCCGTTACTATAAGAGAAAGTCATGCTCATCTACTATCTGTTTTCTCCGGTCAGGGCATGCAAACAATCCCATTTTCAGATTTGTCTGTCATAGAATTTACTAACATCGGTAATCGGTATCGGTTGTGTACGTCTTTTCGAGGTAAAACTTTCAAAATTTAATTTGGGCTTTCACTACACAACATACAAAAAGCAGAGCCTATAAATTATGAAACAAACTGAACGTAACACTGGATTCTGCGAAATCCATAAGGGCAACGCCAATAATTAAAAAGAAGAAGAAGAAGACGGAGCGATCATTGACATACGTAGACAGAGTAACTATTGTTTTCTCTGTCTACTTTGACATCGGGACTTAGTGTTGTGTAACTCACACGTTTTTATTGAGGATGAGTGAGGACCTCGTTTTATCTCATGAGGTGCTTGCGACGTACCCCTCATTTGAGGTGAGGTAAAGAATGAATATGTAGCGGGGCGTAAGGCAAATGAGGGAGAGAGTCGGTTGCTACTTTGCATGCACCACTACTCGCCGGCAAAGCCGAGTGAAACATTTGTGATTAATAATTGATCAAATATTGAAAACTATAATAATTACTTATTATTGGAAAAATATTTTCTCACGCAGAATGAATGCGTTTTGGTTACCAAATTTTTTCTTCACTCAATAATTATTTTTTATTGTTATTTTTAATTATACTCCATTCATTATAGCATTAGACAGAAGTTAAATAAGGTTCTTTTTATGGTATACTTTGTGACAAAATATCAATAATCATGTTACTTTTAAGACTGGCTAATTTGCTACATATCCACTTAAATACCAATTGCTATATTTTACTGTTCTCATTTAAGCTATCTATTAAACAAATTTATGAGTATATGACTAACTTAAATGATTTAATAACTATTACAATATAAAGTATTCATCGTAAAGAACCTAAAGAATCAGGGTTGGATAGTTTCGGCACGATTCTCATGTCACTATAACTCTACCAAATTTAAAACGTTGCCTAACCCCTTCAAACTTTTTGGTAGTACAACTTTTTAATTTTGTCAGACTATTATTTATTCATAATTGTTAAAATCGTAATCTGGGATTGTCATCCATTGTGAATGCTACTGCCTTTCTTGTTGTTTTGTTTTTGTTGTTAAGTTTTGGTAAATATGGACAATGCCGGTGCAGGCCTGAGTGGCCTACAAAAATTACGCTCTAAGCCCCCATACCTACTGTCAAGCTTTGATTTTTCAGGGAGTTTTTCCAATGTCTTCATCAATTGTCTAACTAATTACATTTACAATTAGAATTTATCAAAACAACAGACAGATAGTTTCAGTTTTAGTTCCATATTGGCTTGGGACTAAAAGACGAATCTATAAAATGCTGGCCTCATCTCAACCCCGAGGTATCATAAAAAATGGAAAATTGTCCAGCTCTTTCAGACTACCTAAAGTTCAAAGTTTCAACAAAACTAAAATATATTTTTTAAATTTATCTTGAAAATAAAATGTTCTGCACTGCTGCTTCTATGACCCTCTTTTTTCTAATGTTATAATGAATGGAGTATACAATACAATATTTTTTTGATTTTACTCACGTCACATTCGGTCGTGGGAGTATTCCAGGGTTGCCATAATAAGGAATATCTACTAATAATATTCACACTCGCGATCCGCTATGGGTTGCTGAGCCATCAGAGTAAAGTAAGTAGGTACTATACTAACGTTTTAAACTATTCCTATTGCTAACATTTTAAGAAATAATCGATGGTTAATCGTCGATTATGGAATCATAATCGATAGTAATTTACTATTTGAAAAATCGATTAATGGTTATCGATTCCGCACCATTAATTAGTGTCATACACCGACCGACTAATTGTTTGATATGTCCGAGTCTAAGAATTATTTAAAATTAATTTATCCCTAAATAATATGTACATTTCAATATCTCATATTTTATTAGAAACGAATTAAATACATACCATATAATGATAAAGTGGCAAATGTTCAAATAATAAATAATCATGAATAAAGCATCGTTTGTATTCAAAATAAAATGATAGGTATAACATTCCTGTGTAGTTACTAATCGATCACTAGGTTAAAAACAAAGGTTGGTCTACGTATTAGTTTTATTGTTCAATCCCAAGAGAATTCAGTCAGTGATTCTATTTACAAATATTTTATTTTATTTTCAAACATTCAACTCTTTCAGAAATATGATGCGCACTTGTGAAGAAGACTCTGGGCGTAGTTCTTGTTCCGCTACTTCCATAGGACTCAGTCCAGTAATAGATTATCATGACATGAAACTAGCAAACTCTAACCAGATAAAAACAAAACAAGTAAAATCTCAGGAAACAATGACAAATAACGATTTAAAAGTGAGTATGCGACCGAGAAGCTGTATTTTATTGAAATCTCCAGATGAAAGAGACCCATTCCCGAGTCGTATGTTACAAAACAATCCAAAGAATGTTGCACTTAGCTTATTTGACACACCCAGATTGGGTGGATTAACCAATGCCCATTCCACACTAAATATAGCATGTAGCACTCAGATAGAAGAGCCTGCAATTCAACAGAATGCTGTATCCTTGACTAATATTATCAACAATGAAAAAACTAAACCCAAACAAGGATTGAATGCAAATTTTCGACATATTAAACCAGTTCAAAGAGCTGCTTCGAGACTTTACAAAGCTGGAAGTGGATTCAAGGGGAAAGATGGTTGTATTGGGCCTGAATTCATAATAAGAGCTTCACAACCTGCCAAAACTATAGATCTTACATTAGCAGCCTTAGCAGAAAAGAGAATGATCAAAGTTATTCTTCTGAATGGACAAATTATTGAACTTCTATGTGATCCCAATGTGATTACCGCAGGACAAATTTTCCAAACTATAGTCTATAATGAGAAGTATGAACACAATTTCATGCTTGGAATAGCTGTACTTGTTGGAGGAGATTTTGTGTTTCTACCTGATGATTATAAAATTAAGAAAATTGCTCCAGATGGATGGTTTAAACCAAGTAGTAAAAAAAATAAATTATCTGAAGATATGAATTTTACTGTCTTTTTAAGAATAAAATTTTTCTTACCTAAAAATATTGCTTGTAATATACAGGGTGGAGAATGGAGATATAGGGTATATTTACAATTAAGAAGAGCAACAGTGGAAGGGCAAATGATTTCTACAATACCGAATCTGATTTTATTAGCAGGTTATGCTTTACACATTGAGTTTGGAGAGTTTTCATATAGGGAACATGGCACTGGAGATTATTTTCTGTTGGAACATTATTTACCTGAAAATATTAATAATGAAAATGTAGCAGACATAAAATTACGCATGAAATGTGCTCATGAGTCCAAGCATGGCTTGGACAGGAGTAAAGCAATCATTAACTACATAACCCTGGCACAAACTTTTCGAGACTATGGAGCACACTTTTATTCTGCAGTTTGGGCAACAAGAGATGGTTTCTGTAGAGATATATGGTTATCCATTGGTCCTAGAGGTATAACATTATACTCACGTAATAATCATATTCCAGATGAGTCCAGGAATAATGGCAATCGCATTGTATTACAAAGTTTACCTTGGCACCACATTCATACTTTCTATTATAACAAAAAAAGTTTATATATAATGCCTAACTCATATTCAGGACTTTCCAAAATGAATATCAAATATAAATTGAAAATGAATGACAATAAAAGCTATTTTACATATTGGTTGGCTTCTTTGCATCATAGATTATATTTAAAGTTATATGCTAAAGAAGATTTCATAGCTTACTTATCAGAAGAACTAAGTTGCCCACTGAACAAAGAAGCATCACCAAATAAAACAGTGTGCAGCAATTATCAGGACAGCTACAATTTAGCAGTAAGGAATCCCATTAGAATACGAAGACCAACTAGAAGACGGTTTAAAATGGACTTATTTGGTGAAAATAAGATGCAAAATAAAGAAAACGAAAAACCTAATACAGAAGAATTACTCCGACAAATACTATCCTCCCCACTGCCTAGTGATGATAATGCAGTCACTTCGCATGTAATACAAGATAATTCTTCTAATGATGCTTTGTCTTCATCAGAAAGTTGTAGTTTGCCAAGAAGACATGGTGTCAAAATGGGGACAAGAGTATTTAATGGCATGAAAACTGCAATGAGTAATAAATATCCTAGATCACCAATAAATACTTGTTTAAGATCAGAGTGTGATTTAGTTACTGCACAGAGTGATTCAGATGATTTGAGTTCAGAACAAAAACAACATTGTAATGTCAATAGTATGAAGCTACTACCTGAGAGACATTATAACCATAACATGTCTAATGCTCCGACTGCTTTTGTATTAGAATCTCCTAAAGTTTATTCTGATTCATTTAACTTTAATGCAGTTAACAATGAATCTTGCTTGAATGCTTCATTGTTTGAAAAATTGGATAGCATGGGTTGTGTACAAGGAGAAAGAATATTTGTAACAGCCACTTTGACACGGGATAAAATGAATACATTAGGACTGCAAGTTGCTGAGGGATCTGATGGTAATGTTTACATAAAATCAATAACATCAGGCAGCCCTGCTGATTTGTGTGAGAAATTAATTCCAGGTGACCAAATTATATCTGTTAACGGTAAAACTCTTTTAAATGTCAGATATGATAAGGCTTTAGGGATGTTGCAATCTGCATCACAAAAAGTGGAGTTAATTGTTTTGCAAAATTCTAACAAAACATCAGATGTTGAGTATCATTCTATGGAACAATCTGGTGAAGTAAGTAATTCAAAATTAATTGCTTGCAAAAGTGTGAGTGTTGCAAGTGCATTAGATACTGATATAACTGATGATGAACTTTTAAATGAAGAAGCTTTAAAAACAATATATGCCCTTATAAAATTAACTAAAGAAAAAGTGATAAGTCGAATGAAAGACAAATCTAGTAGACAAAATACTCTCAACAAAGGTAACCTTCAAAAATGCTTTTCTGAAAACAAAATAGCTGAACATTCTGATGTTGGGGAGTATTCTTCTCAAGAAAGTACTCCTCGGAAAACTTCTAACAAATTCAATACATGGCGTGGTCATATATCTAACCACAGGCCTAAACGAAGGCCATTAAGCCTAAGCATTCCAACTGACATGGACTTACCTGATGATCTGAATGAATATAGCCTGATGACGAAAACTTCATTGAAATCAGTGCAGTCGTCTTTGAACAGTTTAGATAAGTCAAGCACGTCTACGAAAACTGTAGCTTTGCCCAGAAACTTTGGATTGAGTAGGAAATGGTTAGGGCCTGTCCGGTACCCTGTGACACCATGCAAAAATAGCAATACCCCTACCGAAAATAGTGCAATCACCCATGAACAGATTGTTCGGAGACATTTTGTATATGGTGCTGGAGACTCTGATGAAGATCAGATATTTCTGTAGGTATACCATTCAGCAATGATTTTCATATTTCTATTGTTATCTAATAAGAGCTTTACCTACGTTTATATTGAATATTGTTTTTATAATATGAAAATATACATTATAATAACATAATTTACAAACGAATATATTTTAATAACGTTTTTACGCTAATTTAGTAGTTTTATTCTTTCATCTTAACATCTTTAAGAAAATTCTTTATCACCCTATCTATACTAATATTATAAAGCTGAAGAGTTTGTTTGTTTGAACGCGCTAATCTCAAGAACTACTGGTTCGAATTGAAAAAAATAATTTTGTGTTGAATAGACCATTTATCGAGGAAGGCTTTAGGCTATATAACATCACGCTGCAACTATTGGGAGCGAAGAAATAATGGAAAACGCGGACGAAGTCGCTGGCGGCCACTAGTATATAATGTTTATAGAATTTGTAAAAGTTTACTATACGGGTGAAAATAGGGATGATGACTGGGTAATAACGAAGAAATTCTATTTACTTTGTTAGTCGGATAATAGAAAAATATTATATACGTATTTCTTAACTTCAATCTAACATAAACCTTGAGGAGTGGGGGCTCGCTACGTCACAGTTTTGTAGAAAATGTAAAAAAACTTGATGTTGTGTAACATTTTAACTCAATGTATTGACGTGATTTAATGATTACGAAAAAATACATGTTTAATATTTTCAACAATTTACCTGACAGACAAACGAATAAAAATAAGTCATTAACCCTATTCAATAGACATGAATCACAATGCAATATTATTTTCAGGATGTCAACATACATCGCGTGGACTTACGAAAAACCCTAAATGTAATATCGTCATACAAAAGAATTTTTAATTAGTTTATTTGAATAAAGATTATTTTGACATTGACTGTGAAAGAATACAAGCAATTTTATTTTTAGCAACTTTAATAGTTAGGGGTATGTTCCGATATACACTGCGACCACTGAACAGTATGACGTCAATTTAGTATACTTTATAGCTAGTTATACTGGTGACTTTTTAAAACGGAACGCAGTCCAGTATACTGTTAATCCTATTTTTGGCGCCATTTTCAAATTTGTTAATGCAAGGTGAATATAAATATAAAGATTCCCTCTTTTCAAAAGATAATATTATAAAATTGGAAAATTGTATAAAAAAATTATTTATCAATCAAATCCATCTTATAATAAACGTAAGTCTTTTATTTTATCCGTTTCGACTGATCACGTGGTCAAAAGCACTGCGAGCACTGCACCTCGAAATCTCCAGTGCTCACAGTACAAATATGGCGGCAATTCATGACGTCATAAATTTCCCTACGGTACTGTAGCAGTATACTGGCAGTCCATAACGGAACGGATTTTTCAGCAGTAAGACCACTGCGCAGTGCTCGCAGTGTATATCGGAACATACCCTAGATAAATGGAAGTGCGACTGACTTCTATTCTTTGTCCGCGAGTGTAATAGTTCCTATACGAATGGTAGTTGATATCGTTATCACTTGTAGTAAAATAATAAAGTAGGTAGGTATAAGTACTTGATCAAAGTACGCGCATAAATTACAACAGTTGAAACATAAATATTCAATCTTTGAGCTTACTAACTTTAAAATCAAAATCGATCAAAATTGGCATCTTATAGTATCTAAAGGCTAAAAGGACGTGATGGCGTTAATATCTGTATAAAATGAAACTGTAGCTCCAAACAACATACAAAGCCAAAGTCAAAATAATCTTTATTCAAATAGCCTTTTTTAAAGTAGTTTTGAATCGTCCAACATTTTTTCCCTACCACTCGTTTAGGATGTCTTTTGGCTGATAAGAAGAACGAGCAAGAATCTCACCACCTCTAATGGGAGTAACAACATTCACAAAACCATGTCATTAACAGATCAATACTTTATAAATAGAGAAAAAAATATATGATCTTATAATGATAACATAATAATTGAATATGGCAATAAGATAATTTTGAGATGTAATGAGTTTAGAAGAAATGACCTATCCAGTTGCTGGACCATCTTAAGTCCAAACATTATTCTGTTATAACCTCAGATAGGTACCTTGCATTATCGTCTATGAAGAGTCAATAAATAATAATTGCAAAAATGCAACTTTTCAGGAGACGAAAAAAACGTTTCAAATCTATTGTATTGTTTTTTCAGTACATTGCAATTATTGATTATCTTACAAAAAAATAAGAAACGAACCCAAAATGTTTGTCACTATTGTGTAGTAATCTATTTTACAACGAATAATTCAATAAAACAAAAATGGACAAAATGTCAGTTATTATTTATTGACTCTTCGTGGGCGTTATGCTTTTTTTAATAGTAAATTTAAATTGCATCTTAGGTATTGAGACCTCATTGTAGAAGCGCACACAAAGACCCCGGAATGAATTATTAACTTTTTGCAGATAGGCACCGTTAATTTATGTTAATTGCTAGTATTAAAATTGTGTACATCACTTTTATAGGTATAAAAAAAACTAATATTATTTTACGAACGTACATTAGGTTCATGTATATGTATTGAGAAGCAATTCATTTAGTCTGATGATTTCTTCAAATTGTTAATTTATAGAGTCCCTACTCCTAAGATTGTAAGTTGATCTAATAGCTCTTTTCTAAAACACAACAATCGTTCGTATGTCGGCATTTCCCCATAACAAGATTCCGTACGATATTACACTATGAAAGTAACTAAAGTATACTAATCTGCCAGTATCTATGTATATCAGTTAACCTACGTATCTGGATTACGTCATATGCTGCATAGCTAAGTCTATTCGACATTTTATCAATATGTGGTCACTGAAGTTTAGAATCTAATGTCTATTCGACATTTTATCAATATGTGGTCACTGAAGTTTAGAATCTAATGTTATAACTAAAAATACTTTGGTATCCACAAGGTCAATGTTATTATCTTTTATATACACATCCGAAATAAATCTTGTGCTTTTAGAAACAATTCACGTAGGTATGTATAGGACCAGTGGTGTAGCGTGCCTTGGCGGGGCTCCGTATAAATATTTGTTTGGGGCCCCCAAACAACTCATGGAGGGTAGAGATTTCTCACAAACGGAAAATAAATGTTTGATTAAATGATTATTACTATTATAAATTATAATCGTATGTACATCGATTATTGTAAGATTCTCCCGTTGAAGTAAATAAAAAGAAATTTGAGAAGTTTTTATTAATTTTTGCTTACGCACGTTGGGGGCCCCCGTGACCCGGGGCCTGTATAAATTGATAATAATTATAGTAATAATTGATACGGCAGATACGGCGGTAGCTACGCCCCTGTATAGGACCTATAGGTTTATCTATAATAAAGATTTTACACACGTTTCAATGTTGGATAAAAGAGTTCTCCTAAATTTAGTTCTTAGTATAGTGACAATTAAGTTCGATACCTATATTGAAGTTCTGCAACTCTTCTGTTCTTGTTTTGTCCTCCATAACAATCTATATGGCAATAATGTAGACCGCATTCCTTTTTCATACTTTCAAATTATGTGGTATTAGCCGTTATAAGGTGTCACTTAAGGCCCGTAAGGTAAGGTGCCTCTGAGGTCCGAGGTTCCTTCCTAGCCGTCCGTAGCAGAGTAAATATTTTCAAAACTAGGTTCAAAACTTTGATTTTCGTATCTGTATCGTTTAGGTTCCCTAACTTCAGGTGAAAAAAATAATATCTCAAAAACAGCTGTTCTCAGTGTGTTGGGAGTCCAAGGAAATATTTTCGGCAAGCTATTTTTTTTTACACTACGTTGGTTTCGGTATCTCGATCGATATCTGATATTTATAGATATGGGATATCAAACCGTATCGCATCGTAATAGAATTGAACCGATGCAGGCGTTTGCTTTTGCGAGTGAGTGAAATAGCAATATTCAAATATTCTTATTATTCAAAACCGTAGCGTATTATGAGCAGAGGTCGGAATTAGGTAGAGTTATTTATGTACTTGCATCGAAATGTTGATATTAATGTGGACCTTCCCGGGATTTCTAATGGACAATCTTGGACATCTTTGGACATCCGATGTCATTGATGTAAGTTTGGCAACGTCGTGCGTGCAGTAGTTTAAATTGTGTAAAAGTAAATAACTTTTTATTTAGAAAATCACGGGATTTTTTCTGCTCTTTAAAATTAATCTCGGGATTTGAGGCATATCCACTTTATTCTTTCGCTGTATAAAATCAGTGTAAGTACATGAATAACTCTACCTAATTCCGACCACTGTTATGAGTTATGGTTGTTTCCATACTTTTGTGTATATTTTGGCACGTTTTCAATAGACTTAATTTGTGAAAAATAAGAACCATACGAAATGCAAAGCACGTTTGTGAATAAACATGCTAGTTAATCGCACGCCCATTTTTTCCCCGTGCTAAATTAGCAAGAGTCAACGTGACACGCTGTTTGATTGGTTTTGCTACTTGTATTGCAATTGTGTTCACTACCAAAAAATATATATAGTTTCTAGAAATACATAGTCTCAGAATCCGATATTAGATATAGACATAGTTTCGAATCGATATTGTGAAAAATGGTATTACCACCGCTAACAATAGCCACATTTTCATACAGGAGAATTTGATGCTTGCATAACCAGAGCCGAAGAAGAAGGACAGTACTAATTTTCTTTACACTTTGTAATAAATTAATAATGTTTGGTGACAAATAATTACAAAACATCTCTCTGGTACACTCCAATTTGAAAATGTGCCTTTATTCTATGGGTGAATTAACAAACATCTTTTTTAAAGCTATGATAAATTATAGTTTTCCAATGCAAACATTGAATAAATCAATTCAAAAAATTAGAAAAACATTATTTTATTATTAGAAATAACAGTAGATTGCATTTGCAAACATTAAAACTAAATAAATCTACTACATTTGTAACACAAGCAGACTCATCAATTAACGGAACTACATAGACATACATTTCACTAATTCTAACACAATCATTTCCAAATATAGCATATATACCAGCATCAGGTGATGTAACTATGTTCTACAATTATAAAAGTCTTTTATCTTTACACTAAATGCAGTATTTAGTCTTTCATTGTATCTTACATCATACCGCCCATACCACCCATGCCTCCCATTCCACCCATGCCAGCCATAGGATTAGGCTCCTTCTCCTGAGGAATTTCACATATCACAGCCTCTGCTGTTGTCAACAATGAAGCAACCCCACTGGCATCTGTAAGAGCTGTTCGTACAACTTTGGTTGGATCAATAATACCCTTTTCGATCATATTGACATATTCATTGTTCAAAGCATCATAACCAAATTCAGGTCCCAGATCCTCAACTTTGGCAACAACAACTGAGCCATCAATGCCAGCATTACGGGCAATAGTCATGCAAGGCATTCGAAGAGCCTTCTTGATGATTTCTACTCCAGTGGCTTGGTCAGTGTTTGTGGTTGAAAGTTGTTCAAGAACAGGAATGCATCGGAGGAGTGCTGAGCCTCCACCGGGTACAATACCTTCCTCAACAGCAGCTCGTGTTGCATTTAAAGCATCATTTACCCTATCTTTTTTCTCATTGACTTCTACTTCACTGGATCCACCGACATGTAATACAGCCACTCCTGATGCTAATCTAGCAAGACGCTCCTGTAGTTTCTCTTTTTCATATTCAGAAGTAGTCTCTTGTATCTGGTCACGGATCTGTTCAGCCCGTCTGTCAATATCTGACTTTTTGCCCTTTCCTTTCAAGAAGAGAGTATCATCTTTGGTTATAACAACTTCACCTACCTGACCCAGATCTGATGGTTGGACATCTTCCAACTTGATGAGATTAGCATCGTCACCAAACACAACACCGCCAGTGGCAATGGCCATATCACTCAGGGTGGCCTTGCGGTTGTCACCAAAGCCTGGCGCCTTAACAGCAGCTACTTGCAAACCAATTTTAAGTCTATTCACAACTAAAGTAGAAAGTGCTTCACCATCAACATCTTCAGCAACAATGACCAAAGGTTTCCTTTGCTGATTAGCTAGCTCTAAAGCCGGAATGATGGTTTGAACATTACTTATCTTCTTCTCAGAGAATAAAACTAAAGCATCTTGGAATTCAACTTTGGCCCCTTTTGATGAATTGATGAAATATGGTGAAATATAACCTCTATCGAATTTCATACCTTCAATGACTTCAAGTTCGTCTGTGAGTGTCTTGCCATCCTTTACAGTTATAACTCCATCCCGACCAACCTTCTTCATGGCATCTGCAATTAGTTTCCCGATTGCGGTGTCACCGTTGGCAGAGATAGTTGCGACTTGTGCGATCTCTTCTGGAGTGGTCACCGGCTTTGACATACTTTTTAACTTATCCTTAACCGCGTCTACTGCCATCATCACACCTCTTCGGATTTCGATAGGGTTAGCTCCTTTGGAGATTTTTTCAAATCCTTCTTTGGCAATAGCCCTCGCGAGGACTGTCGCTGTGGTAGTACCATCGCCGGCTTCTTCGTTTGTATTATTAGCAACATTCTGGACAAGTTTTGCGCCGATGTTCTGGAACTTATCTTTGAGTTCTACTCCCTTGGCAACAGTAACACCGTCTTTTGTTATTTTAGGGGAGCCCCAAGACTGTTCTAATATTACATTTCTACCCTTAGGGCCCATCGTAACAGCGACTGCATCCGCTAAGACATCTACTCCCTGAAGCATTAGTGCTCTTACATCAGCACCGAACCTTACATCTTTGGCGTAAAATCTTGCAAGTTGATAAGATTTGTGGAATGATACAGATTGACGAACAACACGAGGCAAACGCAACATTTTTTGTTGAAATATAACGAACTATATCACAAATCAAGGAATTTCAAACCTTTATTTCTCGAAGATTCTGGCAGCGATCGTAAAAAGTCAAAACGTGATCTTCTGCCGGTTGGAGGTTAGAATAGGGATGCAACTATAAATCGGTAATTAGATATGAATCGACTACCAAAAATATCAACATAAATCGATATCGAAATCAAGACGTGATCTTCTGCCGGTTGAAGGTTAGAATAGGGATGCAACTATATCGGTAATAAGATATGAATCGACTACCAAAAATATCGACATACATCGATATCGAATAAACAGCAGAGTAGAAACAGGGGGTGTACGTTCCGCCGTATGATACAAGCATCCTACAGGTAGAGATGGACGTTTAAACGAAAAGCACTTAATTAATTTTCTAAATAAGTACAAAAGCGCTTTTCACGTAGAACAAAAGTATGCTAATGCACTTTACATAAATGCACTGTATTATACTATTACTCGTGATATCCATCTAGACTTTCTGCTTCAACTTTTTTGTTTGGTTAATCCAAACGTTTTTTTAAATGGAACAGAACTTATACTTAAAAATACAGTACGCTTTTCGTTGTTGAAATAAATGCACGTTATGTTGAATGTTAAATAATTGCGTAAGTTGAATTGTATGCATAAATAAATTGGTACTCATGAAATTACTTTTGTTTATTCCTAATTAAACAATGTAAATAAGTATAAAACGTTTTAAATTTCACAATACACTCGAATCGAAAAAAAAGGTAATACTATTACTAAATCGTGTATTGATCACGTATTCACACGGAACTTGAGCGGTCATAACATATATACGGCGGCATTGACGACGCAAGCGCCAGCTGATCATTATATAGTTGGCAGTGTATTTGTGGGTGCGGGCGCGGCATGCGGCTCGAAGCGCATCGTAACTAGAATGAATAACAAACAGGTTTTAAAAGAATTGAGACGAGTGGACTGGAATGAGGCCCTTGCGTACGAGCAGCCTGATGACATACTCGGCTTTATGTATAATAAGTTTGATTCTATTTACAATAGTGCAAAGATAGAACAGATAGTTAGTAATAACAATAAAAAAAAAACAATGCGAATGGGTAAATAGTAGAATAAAACACATGTGTAAAAAAAGGGCTGAGTTATTTAGAATATGGAAAAAAGACGAAAATAACTTAGAGAAAAGATTATTATTTAATATATATAGAAACAAAACGAATAAGTATATAAATTATACTAAAAATTCTTACTACAAAAAACAAATCAATGAAAACTTCAGCAACACTAAACTAATCTGGAATATAATAAAAAAATTGTGTGGCAAAATATCCTCGTCGGTCGACGAATTATTATTAAAATATTTTAATCTACCTGCAACTATTTTAGCGGAAAATATTGCAAATGAGTTTCATCAAAATGTAAAAAATTTTATAGATCCGTGTACGAATCGTATTCTTTGTCCAACGACATATATAAACTATCCAAATGTGACAATACGTTTGAGGCCGTCTGTCATTGCGGACATCCATAAAATAATCGAACAATTAAACTATAATAATTCATATCCGGACAAATTAAAAATCGGCACTGTTCGTCCTATTTATAAAAAAGGTTGTCATAAGGATTATAATAATTACTGACCCATAACTATATTATCATGCGTGGATAAGATTATTGAGAGATACTTAGCTAATGAGATAAATACGTTTTTGAGCTCCCATAATATAAATGATGCAAATCAATTTGGCTTTCAAAAAAATAAAAGTACCACCAAATTACTTTGTAAATTCACGGATGAAATCTGTAGTCACATGAATAACAAACGTCACGTGATTGCAGTCTTCATCGACTTCAGTAAGGCTTTTGATCTTTTGAATTATGATGTATTGTATTCAAAGCTTGAACAAAATGGTATACAAGGCCCGCTACTAGAATGGTTCAAGAAATACCATCATAACAGATGTACATTTTTAAAGATTGATGGTGCTTACAGTCACAAAATACCAACAGAGGTGGGCACTGCTCAGGGTTCGATCATCGGACCCTCTGAATACTTACGATATGTTAATGACTTAAGTAATTTGCTTGAGAGGGGGTCTGTATATCAGTTTGCTGATGATACTTGCATAATAACGGCCCATTCCATGCAGCTTCAACGATATGCACATGGGCTCATGACACCGATCTTGTAATAAACGCGCAAAAAACAAAAGCCATTCATATCCACTCGCCATTTTTCAGAAAAATATTTACACCATCTATTATCGCACATGGACACTCAAGCCTTCATAATATGAATATGCAATGTTCATGTCCAAAAATTGAATTCGTAACTCAACATATGTATATCGGTCTTATAATTGATAATAGATTTAACTGGGTTCCACATATCGGATATGTATGTGAGAAATTAAGGGCTATAACATCTAAACTATCTATTCTGCGATACAAAATACCTTACATGACCTTGAGAACTTTATATATGGCCTTGGCTAACAGTGTGATCGGATATGGGTTAAGTAGTTATGGAAGAACGTTCAAATCACACTTGATTAATATCTATAACCTACAGTTAAAATTACTAAAGTTAATAGTTTCGAAAAAAATAAAAACAAACTTTTTAAATGATTTAGATTTATTTAAATATTGTGGGGTCTTGCCAATATATAATAGTGTGAGGCTCGCCATATTGATTGATGAACATCACAATAGCAATGAATTGATTGCCTATATTCGACCAAAGACATTGAGAAAGTTACAAAAATCAAAGAAATATGTGTTACCTAAATTTAATAACTATTATGGAAAAAGAAATTGGAAATATTTGTTACCGGCGATATTGAATGAAATGACTGATGAATCTGTATCTTATTATGTGAATAGGCGTTATTATAAAAAATATCTGAAAAAATACTTTCTTGACAAAAGTAATAATGATTACATTATATAAAATTATGTTCTCATCTATTGCTAAGTAAGATTAACTGAGTTTGCTTGATATACCTTCTGTCAATTGCATTGTTAAATAATAAAATAGCGTTATGTAACTACCTATACTCCATTCATTATAGCATTAGACAGAAGTGAAATAAGGTTCTTTTTATGGTATACTTTGTGACAAAATATCAATAATCATGTTACTTTTAAGACTGACGGCTAATTTGCTACATATTCACTTAAATATCAGCTGCTATATTTAACTGTTGTCATTTAAGCTATCTATTAAACAAATTTATGAGTATATGACAAACTTAAATGATTTAATAACTATTACAATAAAAAGTGTTCATCGTAAAGAACCTAAAGAAGCAGGGTTGGATAGTTTCGGCACGATTCTAATGTCACTATAACTCTACCAAATTTAAAACGTTGCCTAACCCCTTCAAATGTTTCGGTAGTACAGCTTTTTAATTTTGTCAGACTATTATTTATTCATAATTGTTAAAATCGTAATCTGGGATTGTCATCCATTGTGAATGCTACTGCCTTTCTTGTTGTTTTGCCGTTTTTCGTGATGTTATTGTTTTATTTTTGTTGTTAAGTTTTGGTAAATATGGACGATGCCGGTACAAGCCCGAGTGGCCTACAAAAATAACGCTCTAAGCCCCCATACCTACCCTCAAACTTTGACATTTCAGGGAGTTTTTTCAATGTCTTCATCAATAGTCTAACTTATTACACTTACAGTTAGAATTTATCAAAACACACAGATAGTTTCAGTTTTAATTCTATGTTGGCTTGGGACTAAAAGATGAATTTATAAAATGCTGGCCTCATCTCAACCCCGAGGTATCATAAAAAATGGAAAATTGCCCAGCTCTTTCAGACTACCTAACATTCAAAGTTTCAACAAAACTAATATAGATTTTTAAAATTTATCTTGAAAATAAAATGTTCTGCACTGCTGCTTCTATGACCCTCTTTTTTCTAATGTTATAGTGAATGGAGTATAATATACTTTGATAAATTATTGTAATTATTTTTAGAACGTTGTATTTGAACTCCACGGCCACTAATAAACCCGAAAGGGCTTTTGTGCGCTGATGATGTACTTTTGCATGCAAAAAGAATTGTATTTTTTGATAATAAAAAAAAATAATTATTGAACTGTATTAGTTGTAAGATTGTGTAAATAAAATGTCGAGGAACAGTAATAGTATTGTGGTCTTGTATTATAACTTGTATTATACATAAAAACCTTCCTTTTGAATCACCCTATATATGAAAAAAAAACCGCAATCATTGATACAGCCATATTTTATGCGTGGATACGTCTATGTATGAATGGATATATGAGTAATTGATAAAAAAATTCACCAGAGTACACTAAGATGGGATTCGATAAAATTCGGTTGAAAAAGATTTTTATGATTTTCGATACCATTTACTTTTGCAGTGCGTTTTTGCTTTTAACAAAGCACCCTACATTTATTTATTCTACCCATATTTGTTTCTTTGTAAAAATAAACTTATATAAAGAATTAAGTAAATAAAATAAAAATAGAAGAAGAAATACTATTCAATTATAATTATGTTTAAGTACCTACAGTAGGTACTTCAACAGATTTTTTTTATAATATGATCGGTAATGTATATCAAACATGTAACATGCAATTAAAACATAACTACATTAAAACATGCAATACTCTCAAATGCTTAACCAAATATTAGCATACGATTATGTGCTAAGAAATAGTATTTGATTAAATCATATACGAATATTGTATTCAGTTTTAAAAAGTTTTTTTTTATATTTCGCCATTTATTAATATGTCAATTTATAACGAATGAAAAAAATCGTTCGTAGTGTAAAAATTAAAGTGTAATCAAGTTATCGATTATTATATACATTACAAGTAGAACATCCTTAACAGCTTCATGTACGACATGACAGTAAAGATGTCGGCGATTTATTGTAAAATATTCATGCTTGTTCATATTGGGGCCATTTTCGACGATGTCCTTTACTTGAATTTGCACGAATTTATTTATTTTTATTTAAAGATTAGCAAATTCACTCAAAAATATTTTACATTTTATTGCTAACGCATATAAAGCTATATTTACGTGTTCGTAGATGGATGTGTACATATGCATACGTATGGCATAAAGCTAATTTTTTTTTATTTATTGTATTATATTTATTGTATTGTATATTATAATGATACCTTTTGAATAATTTTTCCAGATTTGTCAATTATATATGCCGTAAAATCTGCTTCTTTAAAATGTTTTTCACAAACTTAAAAATTTTCACCAACACATTTTATAAATAAAACAAGAGAAGATACAAATACAAAATATAAAATTTAACTTCAATTTCAGCTCTGCAATACTATTTGCTTACTTTGTAAATAAATAATTGATAATTAATATTTATCGGCATGTAACTTCACAAATACCACGTGATCAACGCTATCACATAGAGCAATGTTTTTTGCGCGATTTTGGCTATTTATAATTTAACAATTATTTTCATAGAAAATAGAACAGAGTCTCATTCATGATATATATTGACAGTGTGTTTATAATGTATCAAACAATCGTTGAAAATAGTTTTCCGAAAAGCTTCAAATACCCTATTAATATTAGATTATTATTTTAGTGGTTTATTTTTAAGGTGGTTTAATTTAATGTCGATGACATAATAATTGACTGCAACCTGAGCTACAATTCTGCTATTTTTTACGTAGTTTCATTGGTTTACCACAACATAGTGGGGTTTTTTCTGGTAGGCTTTTAATATAAAGGATTTAATACTTATAAAATATCGATATATCAGTTTTATCAAGCGATACAACAATACCAATATCGATAATTTTATTAACCTTGCACCCCTAAAAAATAATGAACGAATGAATTCTTGATTGAATCAGAGTATGGAATGAATGAGTACGATGAAAGAAAAAACCTCATCTGAAACTTCTGTTTATACAGGAAAGTGCTATGGAATTTTAAGATCATTGGAATATGTTTTACTTGCAAACTTCAAGAACGCCATAATTTTTTCCGATTCTAAAAGTGCGATTTATCGGGTAATGTGATCGCTGTTAGGGTGTTAGAGCGCTCAGTCGGTTGTTGCGCAGCGTGCGTGTAAGACGTCAGTGAACCACAACGAAATTTGCGAACAGAAAAAAATGTCTTCTCAAGGGGAAAAGGAAATAATATTAAATGTAATTTAATATGCATTTCCCGTTGCTAAAAATTTTAAGGTTACAGCACAGCTAACCGCTGTTTTGCGCTATATAAGGTATGACTAAGTTTAATATATGATCAAATTGTGCAGAACTCATTCTGTAGTAGTTCAAACAGCATAGTTGGTCTCTTAGAAGCAAATTTTTTTCACCCAACATTTTATTATTTACGCCCGCAGTTAAAGTATGGGCTATGCCAATTTTTTGGTACTTTGTGAGCGGAGGAGCTATCCTTTCAACGCCACGTTTGCATGCCAACTGAGTCAGGGATAGACATGGGTAGATAATGCGTGTGATAGTACAAAAGTAATATCACTTTGCCACATAATGCAACATCACGCATTACGCGTCATTTACAAACATCACTGCATCACTCATCACTTCGGCAACGTTCGGTCAGCGTTGTCTTAGTTCGTAATGTTTATGTAGATGATGCGCGAGTATCACGAGCGAAACTAACAAAGTTTTTGTGTTTTGTAAATAAATATTTAAGTAAGTAAGTAAGTACTAATATTATAATAGGTCTTTACCACAGAGCTACCTACTATGAAACTGCCGCATTTTTGCTTTGTTTTATAAATCTAAAACATTATAGGTATATCTCTATCGAAAGTAATGTTTTATCTCAAAAATAGAGTAAATACAAATCAACTATTTTTTTAAAAATATTTACTTAAATTGTAATTTTACGATATGTAATAAGTATTGACGTACTGTTTTGCGCATGTCTAGTCAGGGAGGCGATCTAGTGCAGTGTAATCACAACGACGCCAACCGCCCTAAATCGAGGCCGATATATCGGGCCCGATAGATTAGGTAGTGTAATCGGCGCATTACTAGTGAGATCGGGCGGTCGGGCGCTCACGATCACCCGATATCGGGACCCTAACTCTAAAAGCGATAAGAGCGTTTCCACAATATCCGATCCGATATCGGTGTCGGACGACGATAGCCGACATCCGATAGCCGACACCATGTGCTATTTTCACATATTTCCGATAAAATCGTTCCGATAAGGCCATTTACTCCATAGCTTAGTGCGGGCAGGTCATCATGGCAGACTATAATAGAAAACTTTATTTGCTGTATCTATTATATTTGAGACGAAAAAAAAGATCTGTCCACAGACAGTATTGGATACATCCCATTGTGGAAGCTAGATATTCAGAGGGAGCATTTTATACTCTTTTTAGCAAGCTACAAAACGCACCTAGTAAGTTTTTTAACTACTTTCGTATGAGTGAATCCACATTCAATTATTTGTTAATTCATCTCACAAACAGTATCAAGAAACAAGACACACATTTTCGAATGACTGTGGGGCCTAAAGAAATGCTGGCTGTGACATTAAGGTAAGTTTACAATTTTCATGTTTGTTTTTTAATCATTGGTATCTATCATTATCGTTTGTCGGCTGGTGGTATAATTAATTAAAGAAAGTTCGTTAGAAAAAGTATTTTAATCAGAAACAGGTATTGTTATATAAAGATCAAAATGAAAATGAAATAGCATATGACAATGTGAACTTACATTTCGGAATATTTATCGAAAAATTGCTGAAAGTTATTAGTATGGGATTCTGTAACCGATTCACAGGACTTGCTTGTAGTCGATGTTCGTTGAATTCCAACTAGTTGTGGAGTGGGTACATCCATGTAGGAATTGCTTGAAGTCGATGTTCGTTGAATTCCAACTAGTTGTGGAGTGGGTACATCCATGTAGGAGTTGCTTGTAGTCGATGTTCGTTGAATTCCAACTAGTTGTGGAGTGGGTACATCCATGTAGGAGTTGCTTGTAGTCGATGTTCGTTGAATTCCAACTAGTTGTGGAGTGGGTACATCCATGTAGGAGTTGCTTGTAGTCGATGTTCGTTGAATTCCAACTAGTTGTGGAGTGGGTACATCCATTTAGGAGTTGCTTGGGGTCGATGTTTGTTGAATTACAACTGATTGTGGACTTGGTACATCAATATAGGAGTTGCTTGTAGGTGAAGGAGATGTCAGTAATATAGGTGAGGGAGAATTTATTGAATTGCTATGAATCGAATGGCCATGGTTTGGATATGATCTACTGTGTCCAGGTGAAGGGTTTGCGAGAATATATGGTGATCGTACACGTTGATGAAGGACCCGATTTTGTTTAATTTTTTGTATACTAGATAGAAGGTCCATTTGTAGCTGTATTTTCTCTGTTTCTGACATATCTTTGACATATGGTATAAAAGACGTAAAGAAACTGTCCTCTGTTAACACTCTTTCAGATTTGGTAGTTTTATTTTCTTTTATTTCTTTTAATATTGCGGCCTCAATGCTGTCTATTTTCCTATTAGTTTTTGACGGATCCTTCTTTGATTCATGTATAGCAACATTATCAGAATGTTCATTACCATTAGCAGCAATCACTTCATGCTCCTGTTCTGTTTCTTCCACAACGTTGGCATCAGTTTCAGCTTTTTCGTAAATTTCAGTAAAAATTTAAGGTTTTCATGATACACATATGGTTTTTTTGCAGCTTGCCCTGATTTTACATTAAGAGATCTAATGAACGCGTCTCTTATATTATTCCATTTGTTTATAATGAGTTGTGCTGAAACAATAATTAGCTTATTAATACAAATGTACTTAGGTATCATTACATAGTTTAAATAGGCTGAATTAAAGTTTATGTAACCACAATTTTTAAAAGAGCATTAATAAACAAGCTTACAATTTCTTTTTTACTTTTCAGGTACCTGGCCAGTGGTTGCTCTCTGACCGATCTGCACTACAATTACAGGCTAGGCATCAGTACATTGAGTGAAATTATAAATTTTGTTTGCCAAAAAATATGGGAAAACTTCCGTAGCAAACATTTAGAAAATATGTCTGAACAAAAGTGGAAAACAGTAGCAGAGGGTTTTAAAAAAAGAGCAACTTTTCCCAATTGCCTCGGTGCTATAGACGGAAAGCACATACGCATTCAAAATTTTCCACATGGCGGTTCAATGTATATGAATTACAAGAAATTCTTTTCAATTGTCCTTTTGGCAGTTGTAGATTCAGATTATTCGTTCATTTTTGTTGATATAGGCGCATATGGCAAAGATTGTGATTCCTCTATACTACAAAACACCCATTTTTGGAAATTGTTGATGCAACGAAATTTACACATTCCACAGCCAAAACCCATTACTGAAGGAGGACTTACAGTTCCCTACGTATTTGTTGCTGATGATGCATTCCCAATGAATGAACATATGTTACGAAGCTATTCTGGACATAATTTAAGTCAAAAACAACGCGTATACAGACTTTGCAGAGCACGTCAGTATGTTGAGTGCGCATTTGGAATTATGAGTAATAAATGGAGAATATTCCATCGACCCATCGATGAGTCCCCAAAGTTTGCCAAAAACGTAGTGAAAGTTTGTGTTATTTTGCATAACATCGTGAGGAAGCGTGATGGACATCGAATAGATGATATAATTTTAAGTGAGAGATCATCTCTAGAAACTTTGTCCAGTCCCCAGACAAAATCCACTAATAAAACGGGACGTGGAGTCCGTGCAACCTGATTATTTCGTTTCAGATGTAGGTAAATTACCATGGCAATTGTCCAAGATCTAGGTCATAAAAATAAATATTTACTTAACTTGTACATAATTAAAAGTGTAAATTACATACCAGTCTTTTTTTTCTCATCCTGATTTAAAACTTCATATCCCACTTCAAGGTATTCAAATACTTCTCGCCAATTATTGTCTCGGAGTATTTTATTTTTATATTCCTCGTGAGTTTTATCCCACAAGCATGGTTTAGATTCTACCAGTTCAATTAATGTAATTATATCGTATTTAAATGATGATGACACCATGATGACTACCAAACTAGTGAATCTCAAAATGGCCGCCGCGCATCAGGCTCTACGCACACAGAGACAATTTAGATACACGTACAGCACACATATAAACATTATCGTCCGACGGCTCACGGGCGTCCGATGGTGCTGCCAGCGTATCGGTATCCGATATCGGGCCGGACAATATGAAAGACAGGTACATATTTCATACATTTTGCTTGCCCCGATATCGTGTCGGCGTCCGACACCGATATCGGATCGGATAATGTGAAAACGCTCTTAGACTTCCCAATTTATAGTATACCCGATAGATCGTGCCCGATAAATTGGGTACTGAAATCGGCGCTTTGTTCAAATTTTTGGTTAAAATAAATGTAATAATTGGCTTTCTATTTTTGAATGACTGGCATATTGGCGTGTGGCTTGGGTCAGAAACAAAACTTGGTTATTTTATTAAAAACACTTTGATTATTAATTTAATTGTAAAATCACATTTACAACCCGTAAATATAATATTCCAACAGATACATTTTTATTCCGATAGTTATATTTGTAGTTTTAATACTTGTGACATCGTGACATCTCCAAACGTTGGCGCCGTCGTAAATAAACTAAATCAAAATAAAATGCCACTTTGAAGTCAGTCAGTCGTTAAGTCTTCGACAATATTTGAGACTTTGACCGGAGATCTTTTTGTATTGTTGATCGAAGTAAAACAGGCTTAAAATAACAAGAGCAATCATTATCCGTTATTACTCCATCCATACCTGTGATCCATACCATAGAAAAAAATAAAATACCCTGGTTGGCTGTATCATTGATACAGCCATATTTTATGCGTGGATACGTCTATGTATGAATGTATTTCATACATAGACGTAAGTTGGACTGAAAAATGGAGGGAGAAAAAATTTTTCACCAACATCCAGGTTAGGAAACACATCACGAATAGCTTTAAACCACTCTACACGTCTTCAATGTTCTTTGGCACTCTAAAAACTGAACGATTCGCTTCTCCAAAACAACCCGGAATTATGCAACGTTGTGGCATAATTGCATTTATAAATGAATAATTAAAAAAATAAATAAATAAACAAATTGAAGACACTAAACACTAAGTAAATAAATATTCATTGCGTTCATTTGTTGAATGAAAAAAGTATTCACTAGCGCCAACAGATGGCGTTAGTGCATATACTCCTGCTGACAGAATGCCCCTCCCCTGCAGAGCAAGCATAGTTCACTTATTCGCCAATAGATGGCGTTAGTGCATATACTCCTGCTCACAGAATGGCCCCCCTGTAGAACGAAAACAAGGGTCAAACTGAAAGTTCTTAGAAAATCAAAAACTGATTACATTAGCCAGTTATTAGTTTTATTATATCTTTTCAAAATATTGTCCATTCACGTCAATACACCGCTGCATGCGATGGAACCACTGGGAAAAGCACTTTGCCCACTCGTCCTTAGGGGTCTCTTCAATGGCATCGCGATACGCAGCCACCGCTTCTTCAGCATTCATAAACCGCTTTCCTTTAAGTTTTTCTTTAATTTTTGGAAATAAATAAAAATCACAAGGCGCGAGGTCGGGGCTATACGGCGGGTGACCCAGTAATTCAACGTTTGATGTCGCCAAATAGTCGATCGTTCGCTTGGCGGTGTGCGACGAGGCGTTGTCGTGGTGAAGGAGGATCCTACTGCGAGGTCGTTTCTCTCGAACTTTTTCCAAGACAAGTGGCAAACAATTGGTAGTGTACCATTCTGCAGAAACTGTTTTTTGATCCTCTAACACAATTGTTGCAAAATGACCTATCCTTCCAAAGAACGAGGCCACCATTTTTTTTCCCGCACTTCGATCTCTCTTCACTTTAGTTGGCAACTCCTCGAAAGGAAACACCCACTGAGCAGATTGTCTTTTGGTTTTAGGATCATAACAGTAAATCCAGCTTTCGTCACCTGTTAGTATGTCGAACACAGCATTTGAGTCACCTCCGTTAAATCTTTCAATCATTTTACGACACCAATCCACACGATGGAGTTTTTGAGCCTCAGTCAAATTATGAGGTATCCACCGGGCGCAAAGCTTCCTGACCGCTAAATGTTCGTGGAGGATTTTGTGCACTTGACTCATACCGATGCCTAAGCTTGTCCGAATCTGTTGATAGGTCACTCTTTTGTCAGTCTCTATCATACGCCGCACAACACAGATGTTATCTTCAGTCGTCGCCGTAGAAGGCCGTGCCTCACGTAAATCATCAGTGAGATTAGTGCGACCACGTTTAAACTCATTCACGGCCCGTCAACTCCGTACAAGAAACCAATCGCGTAGGGGTCCAGTGATGTATGACATTTCCACACGCCCCTCACCCCTGTCAGTAGATGGAGACATGACATCTGACAGAAACTGTCATTACAACAAAGAGTAAAGATACTAATGTTTTAATTAATCTTTAATTCATTTCATTTTCATTTTACATGTTGGAATTAATTCATTCACTTCACATTGGCAAAATTGTGTGAAATGCGCAGATATGCCATTAATAAAAGAAGAAGAAGACTAAAGTATGTACCTACATATCAGGGAATTACGAGTGATTGAGTAAAGTTTCGTTTGTGCTTACCCTCTTCGCTTTATTTGTAATATAAACTCTCCTTTTTTCGAAGTATTTTTCTTTGTAGAAGATGCCTAGGAAATTGGTGTGTTGTGTTATGGTTGTGTTACACGCATTGTTAAAGTACGAACAGGACGCTATTCTTTGTAAGATTCTAGTGAACGAGAAAAGATTCTCCAAGTGGTTACAATGTCTTAGTGCTGTGTGTGATACTGAAAATTTGAATACAGGCAGAAGTGTCATTTGTAGCAAACACGTTGTACCAAGATTCATTACTCCAAAATCACGACTCTTGGGTGACGCATATCCGTCATTGTTTAATGATGATGGGCTCTCAATCAGCCTACCCTCTTCAAGCAATACTGGTAAGGCTGGTTTAATCTGCTATTACCTTTAGATAATGTAATTAAAATGATATGTATCTTCACTTTATGTTGTGTTTTGGAATACCGCTATTCTTCATTACATTTTTTTGTTATTACAGAAATTATATTCACTTGGGAACACAGCTATGCAAGAAAAAGTCATGTTGACCACACATATTAGAAAGTGGAACTGAACAGAGGTTTGTTTTTAATTTATTTTATTTAGATAACAAAGTTCATGCTGCAGTTTTGGTGTATTTTAATATAGATTTTTGCTTTAAAAAAGTCTAGCAGATCTCTCTTTCTTACACACATAAAGAAAAATGACATTCAAGTTACTTAATTCTAGCGGGCACGCTAGAAGTGATTTTGATCAGAGAATAAATTGATAATATAAATAACATATTTCTAATATCATCTAAGATTATATCCTGTTTTTTAATCTTACACACATAATATTGATTTCATAGGTGGTGTAATTTTAAAAGAACAAATTGAGACTCCCGTGTCTGCAGCCACTGAGTTTACTCAATTAGTTGCTTGCTCTGGAGATTAAAATATGACACAAACTAAATTATCTGGTAAGACCTGTCTCTTTCTTTAGTGTATCTTTATTTCAATCAAATAGTAGTTCTAATAGAGAAATTCACTGAATACTTTTGATGTTACAGACCCTGTGAAATGTACCCAAACAAAAGGCTTATTACCAAATAAAGCCAATTGTCACCTTTATACCAGAGAATTTATGAAGAATATAACAAGCCAAAGACGTAGTTGAACTTTCATAATAAAGTTAAGAATACTTAAATACCGTTAAGTTTTGTAAAAAGTTATCATTTGAAAAGTTCCGACAAAAAATGAACACAGTTGCAAAAAACGTTTTTGAAATGCAAGTGAGCATGTGCTCTAAAAATAAACATGAGAGGTGATTCACTACCGAAGAAAAGATAATTGCTTTATCAATATCAAAGCAGAGTCCAAAGTGTTATTGATTTTTAAGCAAAATTTTTTATTTTATCATCCAAAACTACACTGAATACTATGATTAGAAAATCGATCATAGAACCAGGCTTCATGTAAGAGGTAAATATATTCCATATAAGATTTTTCATTATACTTTTATAATTTTTTGTATTACTACCAAATAATAATATGTACCTACCTATTTGAATTTATTTTTTCAGGTGGACAAATGAAACTCCAAAAAATATGCTCCATTATATTTGATGAGATGTCATTAGAAACAGCACTTTCGTATAATAAAAGTTAGTAGTAGAAAAAGTTGTTGAATTGGACCTTAATCCCATCGCAATAATATATGACCAAGGCTCAGCTTTCCAATCAGCACTCAAAAATCTAAAAGAAGACACTTAGTGTGATCAAATTTTAAATTGAAATCACAGGTTGGTACAGAGAATTATATTTATATGAAAGAAAACTAATAGATTTAATGAAAGTAGTGAAGGTTCCTATTTTTATATTGTTATCTATGTTTTAAGAAGTTCTTAAATTTTTGTTTCAGTTGGCATTCTTAAAATATGTGGGGTGGATTTGAACATTATGATTCTGCATACTTGATAAAATGCATCAGGAACAATTTTTTAACAAAAAATTTAATATTGGATATTAAACTTGCAAAATGGCATGATATTATTTGGCTGCTAATTAAGCTGGGCTACGTCATAAATTAAATGACCAATGAGTTATACCTGATAAAATTAAAATGATGAAGGTAATGCATTGGTTATTATATTAGTATAACTTAAATTAGTATAAATAAAAGAAATAATTTGTATTCAGCTTCTATATTCTCTATCAGAGCAAGTGTTGATTCAGTGACCTGTATTTTTAATTATGTAACAAGTAGTTAATATAGTTTACACTTAAATTACAATAATGATTCTCTAATGAAGATAATTTTAAATATGATATCTCTTTTTGCAGGTAAAAAATTGTGTAAAAATATGTCTGCAGCTTTGTCTTACACTGCAAATTTCTGTGAGTATTAGATGAAATTTACTAACAGTTAATAGTTTTGAATCAAGTTTCATACAATTATTGTATGAATATTTTAATTTGCAGCAACTTATGTGGATGGCAGGCCCGTCAGCACAACATTAAGAAATACAGCTGAAGTTGTTTCATTCTTTGACCAATTATTTGATAGTGTCAATGGAGCATCGATAAACAAAAAAAGCATAAAGGAAAAGAGCATCATTCTTTCTGGCCAAAGGCAATTGAAATTTTAGAAAAACTTAAATAAGTGTATAAAAAAATATCAGTGCCCTCTTTAAAAAAAATGTGATTACCTTGAAAAGTTTCATAAAGTTGTGCCACTAAAAAAATGTAGCTAAGAATTGCCGAGAATGCAGAAGAAAGCTGTGTAAAATATAATAAGTTAAAAAATAAATTATTCAATAAATAATATTGGAAAAATGTGTGTTTCATTTACGTGTTCGTTTTTCCTTTTTTGTTTTAATACAACAATAATAATAAGCTAGACTTATCAGTCTGCTTTATTGTTATTGTTGTATTAAAACAAAAAAGGAATTTAAATTAAAGTAAAAATAATGTGGAAACTAGGAAGACGGCTAGGTACCTACCCAAAACAGGGCTGTATAGCTAAATGCCTTTGCCGATAGTAGATCTATATATTTAAAACGAATGATGCTGTCATGTATCACTGGCTCCCAATCACGCTCTACGAAGAAATTTTTTGTTAGGAAGTTGGTCGTCTGATACCTACTAAGTTCAAAAATCTGTTTGGTTGGGGCTTCTAGCAAAGCGTAGCGTTAGGTAACGCTACATACTTTTGCTCTTTGGTAGCGCTAGAATATATTGTTCTGTGCGTAACGCTCGCGCGGTTTTTTTAGTCGCATGTTGGTCGGCAACGTATGACACGTTTCTCTCATCACATTTATCAACAAAAGCATGCGTGATTAACGTGCTGTGCTTATATAATTAAAAACTTCAACTGTAATTATACGTGTATATTGAAAACATTAAGTCCCTTAGTTTGGTTACCAAATAATATTATATAATGGATAATACCGGGTGAGTTTAATTTGCTTTTCAGTCTTTATTAATAATAATTGACAAGAGAATCTCGAACCGAAACAACCGATGTGACCCCAAAAATTAATCTGAACTTTATTTAAAGGCGCACTGTGGCATTAGTAGTGGTGTTTCATACTGACTAAAAGTGCCTCTGTTATATTTTTAGTAATTTTTACATGATACAGCAATCTTAAATATTTTTTTCATAATGAATCTGGTATTTATTTTTGAGTGTGAGTTAGATAAATTGTTACTTAAATATTATATTTTGTGAATGTATTCCATGAACAAGTTGTTAGTAAATCAATAAATAAAATAATACAAAATTGTATTTTCCACTGCAAATTCAATTTTTAAAGAGAAGACTCATAAAATTCTAAATATTTTTGATTGTCAAGTAATATTATTTAATTTTAATTCACCAATATGTACTTATAATGAAGCCAATAATAGTAACTTTTAATACCCTTTTTCATTTTAGTTCATGTAATTGTTCTGGAGAAGGAATACTTGTAGGCATTGGTAATCCTTTACTAGATATCTCTGCTATTGTTGATGAAGAATTGCTGAAGAAGTATGACTTACATCCAGATGATGCCATTATGGCTGAGGAGAAACATATGCCACTTTACAGGGAGCTTATGGAAAAGTAAATATCCCTTTTTAAATTATTATTTCTAATCTATGTTATTAAACCAATATTTGAATAGTGTTGTCCTGGTGATAATTCTGTTGTATCACTCTCTAAACTAAAAATATCTGATTAAATTTAATTTTTGATATTCCTTTATCACTTATCTTAAGTTAGTACATATTAATTATATAATATAGACTAGTTTGTGTCAACAGAATTGCTACACTTTTCAGTGTTATATTCTTTATAAGTGAACTAATTGTTTTTTATTGAACAGGAGTCATGGTACACCTACACAAAGAAGGTAAAACTGAACTCCAATATTGAAATCAAAAACCTGTTTCAAAGAGTATTACTAATAAATAATAATATGTGTGATTTTACAACATTAATGTTTTCTAATAACCTATTTAAATATTAAATTTGTTGAAACATAAAATATGTCTTGATAAATGTTATAAATGTCACATCATTAATTTATAACATGATAGAAAGTATTACTTAGAATAGTATAGAAACAATTAATATGCTTGTTTAAACAATTACTGTTATGTTTCTTAGTTCTTTTTATTAATAATTTTAGATGTACATAATTAAAATACTATTTCACTAAGACACTGCATTTGGTCTATCTGGTTTTAAAGATCTCTGCTCATTATGCAGACATTTCAAAGCATCCAATTCTTAATACCCAATATTTATCATCTTGTTGTATAACAGTTGCTGGAGTTTCAGATTTGTTAAAAAAACATATATTACTTGTTAAAACATATAGTACTTGTACTTATAAACATCATCACCACATCACCAGCCCTTTTACGTCCCCACTGCAGGGGCTCAGGCCTTCCTTATGGATGGTTAAGGAGGATGGGCCATGACCCTTCACGCTGGCCCAATGCGGATTGGAGGGTATTAACGACTGCAAATGCAGTCGGGACCAACGGCTTAACGTGCCTTCCGAAGCACGGAGTAGCTCGAGATAATAATTTTTTGGTCACCCATCCCGTGACCGACCCTTGCCAAATTTGCTTAACGACTACGATCGCGGGCCGCGGCGCTTATCCACTACGCCACCGAGCTACACAACAATATATAAACATACATAACAATAATATGTTGGAAACTACTACAATGCATATGTTTTGCTGTGTGTTACTTAAAATCAGGCCAGTATCACTATACAACAAACTTTAACAATCTTTGAAGGAAAGTGAAGTGCTGTATTACAATCAATGTCTATTGAAGCAGGATAGTGAGATGTGTGTTCTGAGTATTTACTCAGAACAGTATTGAGAGAGACCTGGAAACCAGAAATCTGATTACATTTTATTAATAGAGTAACTCCCTTACATGTGTTCACTTATTAATGTACATAAAACTTTTTGTCACAATTTAATAAGATGCATTAAATTTAAATTATTTGATTTTAGATACAATGCTGAATTTATCGCTGGGGGCAGTGTGCAGAATTCATTACGTGTTGCCCAGTGGATACTGAAGAAGCCTAATATATGTACATACTTTGGCTGTGTAGGCAACGATGACTATGCCAATATTTTAAAAGAAAGAGCTGTGTAAGTAGATAGCATAATGCACATACCGTGTAAACCTCCAAATTATTTGAAGTCGGTTAAAAATAAAGACAGAGCGGAGTAAGTACGGTGTAAATTTAAACTTAATGTTTTTAAACCAATGTTTAACATTTGATATTTAAAAATCATATGTAAAACTTTGACTACAACAGACTAGAGACCAAATAAATCTCTTTTTATTAATTATATTGAGGGTTATCAGTATTTTATCACAACAGATAATATCTATTGGTTGTAAATATGATATTACATTCGTGTAAAATAAGTCTTATCATTCTGATTTTTAGTACATTTAAATAACTACTTGAATTATTGCATAACTTTGTACTAATGATTAGTAAGACTGAGAATTTACGTAGGCATATTTGCCTACAGCCGCCGCGGCGGCGGGAGAGTTGTTTTATTTAAAAAGTCATAGGACCGCAGTTTTTTCTGGTCCCGCTAAACGCCTGCAAAAATACGCCTCAGAAAATCGCAAATACCACATTTGCGCCCGTTGTAGTTACGGTATGCCTCAGGTACCTGCATTCGCGGCGAGTGTGAAGCGTAAAATAAAACTATTTTAGTAAATCGATAAGTTTTAGGAACTCATTTTGATTTTTTTAGTTAGGACTGTACGTAAACGTTTTTTTTTTGTTACAACTACGTCGCCCTGTGTGTCTAGACAAGTATAGCTGACATAGTTTAATTATACAATCATTAATTTTTTATCATATATCTTCGTTTAATTATTGAAAATAAAACAACAAATTTAAATAGTAACAGGAATCTAAAAATCATTAACACAGTTAAAAGTTCTTTAAATTATAAAAAAAATTTTTCATCTTCACAAAACATATTCAAATGAATTAAGGTCAGAACACAGGGGAAATAAACCTTAGGCCTTCACTAGTTCACTAGTAACCGTATTAGGAATTTGTATGGAGATTTGTAGTTCTTAATAATTATCGCTAGGGGTGCTGTATCGGACTCTATACTATAACTTAACGGCTCACGATCGATGGTGAGTGTTAGATATTTTTGACGTAAAAATAAATAACCTAACGCTAAGCAATCAGAAAACGACAGGATTAAGCGAGCTGGATGCGAATTGTCGTTTAATTTACGCATCCAGTTAAAAAAAGATTGAAGGAGCGATAGATTAAGCCAAATTTAGGCAAGCAATAACAAGTCCGTTGAAGGCAAGTATCATAGAAACGTAGATTTTGTAGTTTTTAATAAATACACTAGTCACACAACTTATTCTATGTACGCATAAAACTAGAAGAATAATGTCGTATAACTATCGTAGAATTATACATATGATGTAATGTAAACACCGATTATAGTCCGCAGATAAGGAGCTACGTAAGCGCGATGATCCCGATAGCACTTGACATCAACACCACATTCTAAATTTATATTAATCATCCTTTATTATTATGACTGCAGCTTTGGTATTATTGAACAATACTAGAACTCCACATATAATGTAATCAATTTCGGCATGAATTATATTTAACCGACTTTAAAATCCAAAAGGTTGTTCGACAGCGATGTTTGTTTTTTTTTTATGAATGTCACCGACATTTCCGTCAATTGTTGACAGATTTAAAAAAATCTTTTTTTATTTATAGCATGATGGACAGAGGTGGTCTCATTTAAATTTTATCTAAATCGAATCGGTAGTTTTCATTTTATAACAAAACAAAATACGCTATTCACAGTAGTGAGTAATGTCACTTAAATATTTTGAATTAGATTATATGTATTGTATTTTATGTATCTCAGCTAAATAAACAAAAGATAGCGTATTTTGAATTAATAGAAAATCGATGTTCTAGGGTATGTATATTATTGATTTCTTCTTGAATTGTTAACCAATTTCTATGAAACTAACTGTCCTCGCAACTTCGTCTGCGTAAATTATAGGCTATGTCCAACAAGTAATTGTAGATTCTCGACTTCCCGATGAAAGATGAAAAACTTATGAATCGGTCCAATAGTTTCGGAGCCTGTTGTTCAATGCAAACAAACAAGCAATCAATTGTTATGAGAATAGAATTATTGGAAAAAATTATATTGAGCAAATAAACAAAATCTTCTTTTCTAAGACTTTCATTATGTTCAATCTTTTTATATATATATAGATCTACACCTATCTATACTAATATTATAAAGTGGAAAGGTTTGTTTGTTTCTTTGCAACGAATAGGCTCCGAAACTACTCGACCTATTTTGAAAATACTTTTACCTACGGGAAGCTACATCATATGCGGTGAGCATAGGCTATATTTTATCCCGAAAAACAACAAATAAAGGTTGGTTGAAATAAAGGAAGTTTGTATACGAAATGAAAACGTTACCATAGTAACGATCGTTTACTATTCAATTTGTAATGATATCCGTGTCATCCTATCATCATATGGTTTATAAAATACTAAAATATGAAACACCCCCCTTGTGGGTTTTGGCGGAACTCACAAGGGGAACACGTAAAAAGAAGAAGAAAATTGATATCCAAATAAACAGTTCCCTAAGGACCACGCGGGCGCAATTCGGCGGGGCAGGTTTCGAAGAGAATATGGTACCGTGGACCAAATCCATGCAGTGTGGCAGATTTTACAATAAACAGAAGAGTAATCGATCGATTATACTCTGCGAAAGCATTTGACTCAGTCGAGACCTGGTCTGTCCTGACGTCCTTGCATTTTGTTAATGTTTTTTTTTATAATTTTTCATTAAAAATATTTTTCAGTATAGCATTGTGAATGCAAAATTGGTCAAATATAACAACTAGAACAAATTTTTGATCTTTTTCGAAAGTTTAAATATATATTTTCGGAGTAGTAGCTCGGTGGCGTAGTGGATAAGCGCCGCGGCCCGCGATCGTAGTCGCTAAGTCACGGGATGGGTAACCAAAAAAAATTATTATCTCGAGCTACTCCGTGCTTCGGAAGGCACGTTAAGCCGTTGGTCCCGGCTGCATTTGCAGTCGTTAATACCCTCCAATCCGCATTGGGCCAGCGTGGAGGGTCATGGCCCATCCTCCGAAACCATCCATAAGGAAGGCCTGAGCCCCTGCAGTGGGGACGTAAAAGGGCTGATGATGATGATGAAATATATATTTGCAAAAATATTTCTTTCGGTTGTTTGGGTGGATTGCCTGAACATTGTGCGCTCTATAGTAGCGAAAAAGTAATTAGTGCTTGAAAGATTCGTCAGTCCTGTTGGTTCCTGGGTAGCTCAGCGGTTAGAGCAGTCGCCTGGATTGCGAAAGGTGCCAGGGACTAAATGAATTTTTAAGCAATTGTTATTAAAAATATTTTTCATTGTATAAAGTTCATCAAGTTTAACACTTTTATAAAGTTTGAAGTCGGTTATATTTTTTTAAAGTATTTTATGTCACAATTTTGCAAAAAAGAAAGTATTTTGTTAAGGGTTAATACTTAATGTACGTGTGAGTGATATATCTGAATTGAAAAACTATAATTGAATGACTCAACTGATTTGATTGTTTATCAAAACGAACTAAAGTTAGAAAAACAAGTTGACTTAGGTTTAAAATTCTCATTGCAGTCGATGGCATAGTTACAATGGGAATTTTAGGTTCAATACGTAAAAGAATAGGCTTTCATTAAGAATAGATTAACATGTTTTTTGCAGTCGTGTTTTTTATTTTTAAATTATTTTCATTCAGTAGTTAAAAGCATTGAAAATGTATTGTTTCCTTTGATAACCTACATTTTAAACTCTGCTTCTGTTGCGATAACTAACGATAACCTTCGCGAACATAAATCTCAAATGCTCTTATCAGTTATTCTATGTTGATATGATTTAAATTCCTGTTACGAGGTAGAATTAATGTAAGATACGTCATTTGACGTTAATTGATGATAGATATAAAGTTAATTTTTTAATGAAAAAGAATAATCGGCTTTATATTTGTAATTTAAATTTTTTTTTTACTTTATTGGACAAAATAATTACTTACATCTTGTGATTGTGAAACCAACGCCGTTGACCACAAGTAAATAAGTACATTTCACATTGTAGTTGAGAGCAACAATAAAGTCAAAAATTATTTAGTTTGTGGAATGAGTTTCCAAACTACAATATATACGTGTGTGACGCGGAGTTAATTTCAGGCTACCAATACCTCAATGATATATTTCTTATACGATGGTACGTTATGATTGAATAGAACAATTGAGCATGGGAGTTAGGTTTTAAAGCCTCTGTTTATTAATTATAAATATGAAGAATTATTTATCCGGGATTATTAGATCTTAATCGTTTATTTGGGGTATATTCTTTGATTTCAGATCAAATACAAGTTAGAGTATGTAGTGCAGTATAATTATTTTCTATGTTAATATCCTTTTAATTTTAAAGACTAACAAGATTTTGAATTTTAACTAATAAACAGATTAAGGTTCATAATATATCGATGTTTAGCCTTTCGTTATACCATAACGTACTGTCCACAAAACAATAAGCTTAATCGGTTGAAGATAACGCAAAATTTACTATTACTTATTTGAATCTATTAAATATTAGCTGCTTCCCCGTGACTTCGCCGCGTAAATTGTAGTACACGCGTAACTATATCAACACCGAATGATGTAGCTACCCGTAGGTGAAAGGATTTTTAAAATCGGACCAGTATTTTCTGAGTCCACCAGATGCAAATAAACAATCAGATCTTTCCTTGATATTAGTGTAGATACATATCATAAATGTATCTATCATACATACCTATACCGCATGTTAAATGAATGCCCGTGAACGGTCACCAGTGCGGAGGGCGTGAACGTCCAGTACCAGGTGACGTCATCGTGTCCGACGGGCACGTGCGCGGTGCTGGTGACGGGCACGCACCGGTCGCTGTGCGCCAACCTCGCCGCCGCGCAACGGTTCACGCCCGACCACCTCGCCAAGGAGCACTGCAAGAAAGCAATAGAGGCGGCCAAATTCTTTTACGTCTCGGTAATTATACTAGCACACTTTTGAATAAATATTATAGGTATAACCGTGCATATCTAGCGACTTCCACTTTTTTAAATTATTTTCATTGAAAATGTTATGCTTTCTTCGATAACCTATATTTTAAACTCTGCTTCTGTTGCGATAACTAACGATAACCTTCACTTATATAAACTCAAATTCAAACTCATTTATTGCTTTCATGTGGTGAAACAGATGTTGTTTTTTTTATGTACTTTGACATGAACCCTGATAAGGGCACTGCAACAATAGTTAAATTAAACTATAATTATCATAATATCAAATTAAATATAGTATAAAGTATGTATCATGCATAACAATAAAATAATAAAATAAAAATAATAATCCAGTCAGTATCCGCAAGACCTGTGTAACAAATTCACATGTGCAAACGGTAAAAAACCACTGTACACGTGTTTAGCCCCTCCACGGAGTATCCTTAGGACTTGCTAACAGTGATTGATACAGCAGCTCTTGCGGATACTGACTGGATGTGGAAGTTGCTAGAAAAATAGTTTTACGGTTATAGCAACAGGACTTCCGCAAAATGACGTCCGATCCTATTAAATAAATATAGGTTGCCTATGTTTATAAGCGTATACTTGCGCATTTATAGATACAAGCTTTCCGCCAGCGGCTTCGCCCTATATTTGCGTGGTCTTTTATTATACATAAAAACCTTCCTTTTGAATCACCCTATCTATGAAAGAAAAACGCATCAAAATCCGTTGTTTTAAAGATTTAAGCATACATAGGGTTATAGAGACAGAAAGCGACTGTTTTTACCCGACTGCGCGACGCAAGGGAGGGTAATGTGTTTATCAGTCTATGTATGTATGTTTGTTTCTATGTGACGTTCTAGAGACCAAATGCGTAGGCCGATTTTGATGATTCTTACGTCAATCGATTCGTCTTAACCTTGCGAGTGTCATTTAAAACATGACAGTAATCAAAATTCATCACACCGACAACCAGACGCCATATTGTCAAAATTAAGAAAAAAAATCGATGGACTATGTCAAGTGGGGTATCGTTGAATAGGTATTTTAAAATCATCTATAGATTCCTTTCATCATTTTCCTTTTAAACAATAGTTTAGGATATATAACAGTTTAAAGTTGTTTAACAAACGATATTATCTCCCTCAATGAAATGACTAGATTGCGAAATTTACGATCTTAGTCGAAGTCAACGAATCGTAACTAAAAAGTATAAAATAAAAATAAATAATTTAAAGAAAAACAAAAAACCCGACTGCGGGGCCCATTCAAATTTTACCAATCAACTCTTCCTAAGAGGCCCCGACTATGAGTTGTTCTGTTCTGCACTAGAAATTATGATTTGTTTTATGTGTGTATCGATTATAAAACTATTTCAATTGTGTAGTTATTAAGTATTACGCCCCGAAGGGCAAGTTCCCTCACCGGGTTGGACATGTATCTCAGGCACATAAGAGACACACACCCCAGACAGGGTAGAAACGTGCAATGCGGCGGGCGCGCAAACCCGCCGACTGTCCCTACCAAGGGACTAGGCAGCGGGGACTGGAAATGCTCGATCGCGCATCTCCTATCATGCGCGATCGAGCATTTCCAGTCCCCGCTGCCTAGTTGGAGGAACTCACAAGTGAATCCCTCCCCCCGTACGTCTCAGCCAGTCCGATCGGACCTCAACACCGGCTGCTGACGCTCATCTTTGTGACCCTGTAAACAGGACCACAAAGGGAACTCCCTTCACCCACGTAATCGCGAGCCGACTCCAAGCAATCCTCTCACTAACTGTCAATCACAGGCCCGCCCGGCAGACGTATCCCTGCAGAGAAACCAGGTCGACAGTTAGCCGTTACGGATGTCCACCTCCTGACGGAACGGGTACGCCCTCTGCGTGTGTCCATTCCGCCAGTAGCAAGGTTCATCATCCACAACGCACCTTAACTGAATTCTAAACTACTGGGCGTGTTTCTTTCTTTTTAGTTTTTATTTAATTTATTCATTTATTTTTTTAAATTCGTTTTTACTCATCCGGTTTTTTGTTTTTCTTTATATTATTTATTTTTATACTATGTAACGATATCTAGGACGCACGCACGCAGACTAGCAATTGTGAACATTTAAAAGACCTTTTTATATCACATCTGCAATCATAAACACCCAGTGATTTCTTTTTGTTCGGGTCATTGCGCGAAGTCCCTATTAACCTATCTAAGTAAGCATTTCGAAAATTGACGCAATGTCGTTTTTGGATAAATGTAATATGCCATCAGGTGCCATGTTAATTCGTACGAGTGGTACATTTGTCACCGTGATGTGTTGCAGGGTTTCTTCGTGGCGGTGTCACCGGCGTCGATCACGCAGCTAGCGACGCACGCGCACGCTAACAATCACTTGTTCATCATGAATCTCAGCGCGCCCTTCGTGTCGCAGTTTTATAAGGAGCCGTTAGAGAAACTCCTACCCTATGTCGATGTGTTATTCGGAAACGAAGCAGTAAGTTGATATTTACAATGATAGCTGGAACATACGCTACATATGTGCGTGGAGTATGCAATACAGGATAAGACGATGCCCTAAGCCATCATCTGTAATCCCCTCCACAATTAAATCTAGTATTCAAACAAAAATACATCTTTAATTATATTGTAATGATGTAGTTTCTAATTGTGTTAAATAAAGTTTGTTTGTTGTAATCATTGGACATACTACTATGACTAATAAATCTAAATAGCTGGTATTTAATACAATGAGTTAGAGAAAAAATATCTATGTGGTGTACAAATCTCATGTATTTAAAAACTAGCAATTTCTGCCTTGCATTATTTTTGTCACTCAAAAATCATATACAAATAATAACAAATGTTTTTAGTTTCCCATCATTGTCATGTAGATTATTGAAAAATATTAAATACGATCTTGAATTGGCTCGACTGCGACATGAATCTATCGAAAAAATTTTCAGGAAGCGGAGGCATTCGCTAAGGCGTTTGACATAGAATCGACGGATCTCAAAGAGATAGCAGTGAAAGTGGCCGCCATGCCAAAGATGAACGTCTCCAGACGTCGGGTGGTTGTGATAACGCAGGGCTGCGACCCCGTCATACTCGTGGAGAACGGTGAGATAACCCTCATACCGGTGAACGTCCTAGCCAGAGAACAAATTGTGGACACCAACGGTGCCGGCGACGCGTTCGCGGGAGGATTCCTCGCTCAGATGGTACTGGGGGCACCCTACAAGACGTGCGTCAAGTGCGGCATATATACAGCCACTCACGTCATACAACACTCTGGCTGCACATTCAGCGGACAAAGCGATTTCAAAGACAGCTAAGGACACACTATTCTTGTACTATATTCGCAAAGTGCTTGCCTTAACTAACATAACACATGCGAGCATATCAAATTTTATAGTCGACCATATATGTATAGTTATTTTATATACTTGTTAAACACTTGTTCGAATACTTGTTTATTTATTGATACAATTAGCATAAATGACCACACTTTTTTTAATTGATATTTAATAAACAAGATACATAAAATTTAAAATTACTTGTAAAACTTTACAGAACATGTATTTTTATAACAATTCGCTTAAAAAAGTGAAGAATGTAATTATCGTGTATGTATTCAAATTAAGTGGAGAAGCGACAAACTCAAGCTTTTTATGATGAAAGAAACATCGCACAGTAATAATGTACATAAATGTAATAGGTATAAATGAAGAATACGCACTGACAAGTTGACCAATAAATTTCAGGAATTGTTAAGTAAAGGAATGCGCAAGTTAATTTTTACACCCACTCTGGTGTATTAACCCAACTACAGGTGCCCAGTGTAGTAGTAATATATTAAATATTTTCCCTAAGTGGTTTAATACTTATTATGTAATCAATGCCATACCCCCTTGCAACAAATATTTATTGAGTGTTAAACAGAAGCAATGTATAGTACATTACGAAATTAGTGCGTTATGATGGTTATAACATGCGAGGCGGAATTTCAGCCCGAGCCGAGCATGTTATAACCAATACGCACGTATATCGTACGACGTTTTTTAACACATTTGCGAGAAAACAGAAAAAAAAAAACATTAAATAAACTCAATCTGTGAATGTACACTGTTGCTTTCCCGCTGTTGATTTTAACAGCGCGCTAGCGCTGCCTACCGACTGGCGCCGCGCGGCGATTAGTTCGAAATTAGAATAGCAACAGCGCGCGAAATGGCAAATAATACTGTCATGGAATTTGTATGGACTATAACTTAACTATTTGCTATGTATGCTTTGGTGACACACGCGTTTTTTATGACCCGCTTTACATATTTAAAACCGGTGGAATTACATCAGCTTTACGAGCAAAAGTGTTAAAAAATAATCAAAATAATAATTACAATAATACAATGATGAAATAAGCGGTTGTGATTAAGAAGATTTTCTTTGAATGAAATATGCAAGTGCCTCATGGAACAGTAACTTGTCATAAAGAAATGCGAACCATACATAATAAAAAATATTACCTCTCACTAGTTACTAGGTATTAAGTGGTTTCATGTATGGATGTGGTAACATGTGGATTTAAATTACAAAGGCTTATTTGATATTTCGCACTAAGGCAATATTACGTTTTTGCTCAAAACACATCGAACTTGACATAATAATCTGTTCATTTGTAATTAAATGAATAAGTTATTCTAAACATTACTATGTCACACATTGCACGACTGTCCCGTTTTCAACTGTTGCTGATTTTGATGGTTGATGCAACTATTTCTTTTCATCGATTGGTTAAATGGGGACAGTAAAAATTATTCTGCCAGCTGCTCGACATTTGTGACATCACCAAGAGATGCGAATGTGAAAACGGGAGCAAACCATTGTAACTACTTAATTTTCTAGAAGTGAAAGAAATAAGATCCGGGTTGCATTATATTTAAAAAAAGAAAGATACATGATTCTACTTACCACAATGTGTCTCCTTTACCCCAAGATTTGTAGAGAATGCTTCAGGCAATAAGTCCGCCTTTGTACACTTGTGTATGAAGAGTTAAATAAAAGTAAGAAACATTTAAATCTTAATTTAATTTAAAACAAATCCGCCTGGATGAATTAATAAAAAATAATGATAGCTTTTTGTAAGGGTTTAAAATTAAATTTTGAGATGATGTCTACAACTTTATTTCCACTAAGCAACAAGTCTCTCTCGGCTGGCCGCACGCAATTCCTATTTATTTGTAAAGACATCCAATCCAATCACATATCCAATCACACAGCTGCAATTTGATCATTGATATTAATTTCAATATATAAGTGTATGCTAGGTACAGATGAGTGGGTGAGTTGTTTAAACCATTGAAATGAATGTTAAGGCAATGCCTGTTTTTGAATGGCCTACATAAAACTTGCATGGTCATTATGAAAGTTATAACTTCAATATACCTTCATTTCTCAACTTGTGCACATGCAGCTGATTATGTTTTCGTTACAAATGAAAAATGTGTAATATTATGATTAAATGAATTAATTAGTATTATAATAGATCTGAAAGTTACTCAACTTCAATGTATTTTTACTTTTATTGTATATGTAGCTGACTTCTATTGAAATCCATATTGTGTATCAAACATATTAAATTTCAAAAAGACTTGTACATTCCCATTTAAAATGTCAAAAAATGTAATGTTTATTACATCATTTATCCATATACATTATTTTGAAAACTATTCATCCTATTATTATTCAGTTAGTAATGTCATCAATAGTCATGATTATAGTCTGTATTCTTAAAGCATCTCATTATACACATATAATTAAATCTATTGGTCTTAACTTTTAGGTATACAAGATAATAATGTTTCAAATAGCCCTTTCTCTGTATTATCTTTATATTTCAATAAAAATACAAATTAAGTTCCTCTGATCCTGTAATAAAAAGCAATTTATTGAATACAAGGAAAACTAAAATTTATAATAGAATCAAAACTGGTCCGACTTGATCAATATTGTTTGTAACCTAACCATACAACAAACTTAATATGGGATGTATCAGTAGAATTTTCTGATAATGTTTTATGAAAATTCATTTTTATATGTAAATCAATTTTTTAAAGCTTTATAGTTACATGGTGAATATTTGTGAAAACTGTTTAATTTCTAAATTATTAATTAGCTACTATATGATGTTGTTTAGATAAATTTTCATGTCAATATTTATTTTTCTTCTATTTTTACTGTAATTCAAATTACATAATATAAAATGAATTGCTTTTTTTACAACAAAATGATATAATATCACTTCTCTATATATTAAAGGTAAATTAATATTTTATTTCTTATTAACTAGGATGATAATGTCATTGGAAGTAGTACAACCTTATAAAAAACTATTAAATGCAAAATAAAGCAAACATGGAAAAAAAGTTGCAGTGCTCTACACTGCACATAATCTAAAACAGAGATATTGTTTTGCCAAGATTTAGGTAAATTATTATAATTTTAGCAAAATCTACCACTGACTGGTACATCTTTTTACTCATGAACAAGTAAATTGATGCTTATATTTAATTTACAACTAGTGTTAAAGAAGTCTAGTTATGATTCAGGAATTTGTAAGAACAATAGCATAATGTACTATATGTACATTCCAATCTGGAACAATTTCATTTTCATTCCCCAATAAAGGCATACATCTGTATATCTCGAGGATAATAAAATTGTTCAAAGCCTCCATTAACTTTGTTACACTTCTAGTGACTCTAACAGCATCTGTGTTTATTCTACACTTTATTTTCGGCACTTTATCATCAACACATGAGTGTCTTTTACAAATTTGACAGCCTGATTTTAGTTGTTTCATTTTATCCTTAAATGGCCTGAAATTAAGTTGTAAATAAAATATTATAACATTAAATGTACTTATTTGAATAAATAAACGGAATTTGGTCATTTTACTTAAAGAAGTCTGTCAATTCCCTTTCCCGGAATCCTATCTTTGTTTCAATTATTTGAAGGTAGAACGAGTTCTAATCACAAAATAACTATCGTGAATAGATGTCTATTTAATAGGTTTGAAAGCCACTTCATCTGATAGTAGTATTTCATTATTTATGACGATAAGCGTCAAGACTAATGCTTACTGAAACTTTAATGCAAGTTCCGTTCTTTTTACTAATGGAGTAGTACAGAAAGTAAGTACATATTTCTCAATATATTAGTTAAACTTACCGCATGATACCTTAACGAAAATGTGAACTTTTTATCGTAGCGTATCAAATTTCCGATGGTAACTGCAAGACTAAAATTCAAAATTAAACTCGTATTACGTAGTTATGAATGTTTTAAATCTATGAGTAAAATTTAAAATATTAAATCAATTTAAAAACAAGTTTTAATGAGGTTTTTTAGAAAAATATAGTTTCATAAAATCTTGCTGATTGGCGGTTTTTGAAATAGACGACAATGTTGCCAATAGAGTATATTTTTCTGAGGTTGCCAAAGTGTTATCTGATGTTGCCTACTAATGAGGTGTATAAAATAGCGATGTTCCGGATATCCGTATCCGTATCCTCGGATATCCGACGGAAAAAAAGACCCGTATCATCGGAAAAGAAAGATTTATTTTCAATTCATAGGATTAAATGCTATGTATAGGTGAGTAGATTAAAAAAACTATTTAATGCAATTCAAATATTTTTTATATCTTAAAATCAAATATTTGGCACTTTTATATTACAAACATTTATCATAGTAAGTTATTATACCAATAGTACATATCTCAAAGGTACTAATCAACTATCTTAATAATAAGATAAATATTATAGAAAGTTATAACATCACTTATAAATATAAGAAAATGAGAAAACCAAAACATAAATCTTTTTTATAATTAAAATGAGATCAACATAATAGGAAGTTATTTTCATTTTTTTAACTCGAGACAACAACAGCCATTCCAACATAAAAAACAAAAGACATTATTACAGTTATAATAAATCCGGCCAAAAAGTTGTCCACGATAAAAATAACAGGAAGCCTAAGACAACAAGACTTACACAACCCAACCAATTATGTCACCATAATAATTATAGATAGAATTCTATTATTATAATATTTTTTCTCACTCAACCATGAAGTAGAAATTACCTTGGACTTGGACAAGAAATTAACTCTGCTACCTATGAAAGGATCAATTTCATAAAATAACCCATTATAACTGTCTACAATTCGTGACATCACCGCATTCTTGCCATAATTTCTGTTGTGAAAAGGGACAACGAACAAGCTCGTGTGACATTTACGACGTGTGGGTAAATATAAGTTATAAGATCACTTTTATAAATATGAGATGATTAGAAAACCAAAAATAAATTATAATTGAATGATTATTCTCATAAAGTTAATTAATACTGCGTACCTAGAAGGTACTACCTACCATATAAAGTATAAACGTTAGATTACACAAGAAAACACAGCGAAAATTAGAGGAACTTGAAAAAACTATTACTTATAATTGAAATTAAGTAATGGTCTATTCTATTTCAAAAATAGTAACTTGGCAGTTTTGTCCCCCAAAAGTCTGTTACGATGAGGATTATAAACAATACCTGCTGCACTGAAAAATTGCTCACTTGGAACGCTTGTTGCAGCTGATGATAAATATGTGCGAACAATGTGACTGAGACCTCCAAACTTTCTACTGTTAATCTGCCAATATTTTAACTGGTCTTGATCTCGTGGTAATCTTTTTCTGACATATATTCTATGATCAAATAAGCTTTCGTATCTGATTATTGATTTTCAGATTGCTCAACGTCATTATCACTATCTAACATATTAGCAATAGACTCTTCTAAATTTTGGCGATGTCCTTTTCTAACAGTAATTGGTTTGACTCCAGTACTTATAGCTGCTGTTCGATTTTCTTTAGTTTCTAAATCTGTAAACAATTTCTCTTTTATTTCTTTTATGAGAATGTCACTGAAGAATTTACTTTTGTTCCGTCGGTCTAAAAATGTGGCTACTTGAAACAAATATTTTAGATTTCATAAAAACGATAGTCTAATTCATTCTTCAAACTAGATACAAAATTCAGAACATCGGATAGACTGATATTGAGACTTTCCTGGATCTCATCTTTATCATGATTTTATTCAATGCTCATACAAGAGGAATAACGTCAAATATGACATGTGTTCTGTGAGCCAAATTTTTTTTGTAATGTCTTCCAGAGGCTTCAGCACTTTTACTTATTATTGAAAGTCCAGTCATCAAAATTAAATTGTTTTATTTTGTTATTAAAAGCATAAAACGACAGCGAATCCATGATGCATATAAGTCTTTCCAACATCTAATAGCTGGAATTCCAGCGTGTCGGTGAGTCTTGCAATTCTTGTATTTTTTCTAGTTCTTGCTTTGCCATTGCGGTATGGCTGAAATGTCTTGCAATTTTCCTACATTTTGCGAGTAACACGGAGATTATATCAACTTTTTTAATAGCTTCTTTAATCACCAAATGTAACTGATGTGCTGTACAGTCGATATTAAGTATTTTAGATAAATAACAGGCGCGCTTCATATTGGATCCTCCATCTCGTACAATACTCAAGTCCCTATTCTTCTAACTTACTTAGAAATATTTCCGAAATATAATCTCCCATATGACGTTCTTCAAGAAATTCCGCTTTCAAAACGATATTTTTTCGTTGAAAGTCTTTAGTAATACCGTGACATGTTAAAGATAATAATGAAACTCCTGATGAGTAGTCTGACCAGACATCTGATGCGAAGGAAACTTTCTCAAAATCTTGTAACAAGCTTTTTATTTTCGTAAAGCTCGCTGCAAACAAGTTCCGTAAAATATTTTCTACATTTTAGAACATAGTTCAGAACTATATTTTTCATTAATCATCGGAACCCTAATTGTTCTACGTGTTGAAACGATAAATCTGATAAAGCTAACATTTCAGCAAGTAAATAGTACATTTTTATTGATTTGGGGTTTGTATTATGCCACATTCTAACTTCTTCCATATATTCTGTAAAAAAAAAAATTTTTATTCTCTTTTTACATATATACTATCTTTTTTATATATATGAGCAAAGTGTTGCATGCCATGAAATATAATTTTACTGAATCGACTCAGTGAGTCAGTTCAACAATATTATGCATGGATCCGAATCTTAAAGTTCGCTCCGAGTGGATCAGTGGCGCTCACTGACATGACACGAATGAACGAAATGAGGAAGTATTTAAAAAATAAAGAAACTACAAAAAAATATGTCACTAGATGGCAGCAAAAATTATTGGATCTAAACGTCAATTCATGACGTTAAACCAAAAGAGAATAGAATTTTCAATGTTGTTATGGCTCTGATAACTCGGATTAATATCGAGTTGAAATTTAACTAGATCGAGTTATGCAAACGCAACTACTAGCTCTAGGAATTTTTCATTATAATATTTAACAAAAGTTCTGAAAGCAATAACAACTAGGCAAGTTAGTTTTATTGCTATTAGTTGTTTGTTAAACTTACAAAAACAAAAGTACATCAAGTCTCAATAATATTTTTATATTATGTATGGTGAATGGATGAAAATGTTTTAGTTATCAGCAACAAAAGTCATAAAAACAATAATTATAATAAAAAATCCGCTTATTATCTACATACTTACCTGATGTGTATTAAATATACTATGAATTTGTACAAAATAACATGACTTCTGGCTAAAATGATGTTTGTGCAAAGTGTAAAGTGCAAATAACTTGTGCTTTCGAAATTAAGACTTTAAAAACCTATCAGTTAATAAATCTTATATTCATAATTAAATCATCTTAATAAAAATTCAGCAAACAACAAGAAATGTCTGTTCTAAAAGAACAGCAAGGTTATAACTTTAAATTTCAAAATCACAAAGACAAGTACAGTTATTATACTATTGCTACTGCTCTTGCATGTCGACGGCAGACATCGAGCCATGTGTTAAGTTAATTCGTACGGTTGGTATGTGCTTTTTGGTTCTTACAATAATTAAATATAGATTGACTTCCTACTCAACCTACTCTAGAAATCAGTTTTATTGAAATATATTATTCACTGATTAACTAGAGTAGTCATGCACTCTTAAAATCTCTGCGGTAGTGTCGTTACGTTCCCTCAAATATAGTATAGTAGAAATTAAAAAGGCAGCCCTTGCTGAGTTTCTTGCCGATTCTTGTCAGTACGAGATCTCCCGCCGTAGTTTTGCGAACCATTGGCAAAGTTTTCAACTTTCACACGTAATATGTAACAGCCTAGACTGAATTTATATTAATATCATTCGTTTTGTGGATGCATAATGACACATACAAATGCAAGCTGAATTCTGCGCTCCGCTTTTTGTTCTAAATTCCAAACCTGAATTCGGATGAAATTAACGGATGAATTACGAGCAACCAATCATTGGCGCATCACTAATATTGACGTATAAACCAAACATCGTTCCTTTACACGTAACATAATAAACAACTTAAACTTACGATTAAAATAAATAAAAATGAATTTGAAAGTAAGCTAGTATAAGAAACACATAACAATATCCTCTATCAATATATATAAAAAAAAATTGTGTCACGATGTATGTTACCAATAAACTCCAAAACTACTGAACCGATTTCTATCAATTTCACATGCAGCCGTATTTTGGTCCAACTTACTGGATAGGATAGTTATCATCTCAATTATTCACTTATGTCGTGAATGTAAATAAATAAAATATTCTAATTAATTGTGTCTTAAGCAAGTGTTTATTTACTGTTTAGTTTTATGAAGTTCTCATAGTTGGCGGTGTACGTTGATTCATAGATAAAATTCTTCAATATCGTTTGACATCTAGGTTGCAAATACACCCAATAGATGGCGCTGTGTTCTAGATGGTGTTTATTTTAAAGTAATCTGCGGTAACGTTTCTTTCAAAGAATTTTGCGTAGATTACGTTTTCGATTAAGTTTTGTGTAAACTTGCGAACTCTTTTTTTAATCTTTATTTCAAATTGCATTGAATTGGATTAATATCTCTAAAGATTCAAAGATAAAGTGCTGAAACATATTGGACATTCGTTGGTATTTT